TTCAAATGGAAAAAGGTGTCGCCCCATGCCCTTTGAATAGAGTGGCGAAGTCCCTCCCCTTCCGGTGGAGCCCCATGGGACCTTATTTCGGAAAAGTTATGCATTGAAGTCAATGGAGAGAGAAAGATTATCTTTCGATCCCGTTTGAATTGTGCCACGAATTACACATATGATGTTTGTCAATTTAAAAGATAATTTTGCAAGTAAAAAAAAAAAAAAAGTGTCGTAAAACTGTGAAGTAACACATTTGTTTGTGTGAAACGCTAAATGAACTACATCTCTGGTCAACAACACACGTGACGTCACCAAGATGGCCGTCACTACTGTCTTGTCAACACAACGACCTTCACTATCACCACAATGAAACACGTCCTGAAGAATGTCATGCAAAGCTGCCTGCCTGCCTTCCTTTGATTCTCTCTGAACTGCCTGGTCGTTTTAATGTTTAATGTCAACCATTTGTGCAGATAGCATGAAGTAGAGAAGATCGCCGATGCTAACGTTAGCGTTAGCATTTCTCCCCCGGGCTTAAATGGTGTATTATAGAATGATCACACCGGTGACAGTACTATTCAAAGGGTTCACGAAATATGACTACTACTCTTACTGTTTAACATTTTGGGTTACTTAATGTTACTTCATGTTAAGGCTAATAAAAATGACAAGGCTGTAATACTAACTAACGTGCTAGCTAGGTAGCTAACTTGATCCACACACTCCTCTTTCATCAGACGGGAAGCGAAAGAACGAGCAAGACCCATTGCTGGTATAATAACAACCTGGTACTAAGCACACAGGCATCTTGTTAAAGTTATCTTATCTTAGCCAGCGCCATATAGATAGATTATATCTATATGGCGCTGATCGTATATATACGGTATTATACGTATATCGTAGTGTCTCAATTGTGACATCACTTACGCGACTCTGGGATTTGTAGTCTTTCTAGTTGCGTATTTTTCATAGTCTTATATTTCAACAGTTTTACGACAAACTGTGACTTTTTTGACATGGAAATGATTTTTTAAGATTGACAAACATCATATGTGTAATTCATGGCACAATTCAAACGGGATCGAAAGATAAGTTTTCTCTCCCCATTGACTTCAATGCATAATTTTTCCGAAATAAGGTCCCATACCCCGGAAGTAAGTGGGAGGGACTTCGCCACTCTATTGAATACAGCGCAGTTCATCAAACTAACCCACATCTACTCAAACACAGTAAACCCTGGGGCTTTCTGGAGGCCTATAGGAATCTAATAATTTCAACATAACAAACACCTTTATGAACATTCCAAAAGCACATGGTCCTGAAATCTGCTTCCCATGCAATTCTGTCAGTCTCACTTACTAGCTGACTTGCTTCAGAGATCATCAATCATTTGTCTGAGAGAACAAGACAATAGGGTTGCATTCGAATAGTCCATTTAGCTTAGGAACCTTCCTAACGGAGTGAAATGACCCGGAAGTCCCTCAGTGGCAGCCATGATAAGTGCCGTTCGAATTCTCTAAATTAAAAGGAAAGGAGGTTTCAAACTTCCTTTATAACCTCCTTTAGCTTAGGAACCACTGGACCTCCCTAACCGAAAGGAGAGGAGAAAATGCTGCCCCACAATGCCTTGCGGCCGCAGCATTTGCCGTCACACAACAGTCGGCCGTTCACGGAAACAACCGATTATGAACGAGAAATGATATCATGAAAGTTACGGTGCTTATTAAGCATTTTAAAACGTATGTGGTAAGTTGCCAAAGTGCTTTGTTTTGAACGTTCATCAGTATTATAATCAAAAAGAGAAATATGAACGTTAGTTTTTACTGAAATGATCAAATAAAGTCAACATTTCACAGTCTTTACTGAGCTGTGTGGGGTTTGTTCAACTTTTAAAAGATGTTTGAATGGTGATATACACAGTGATAGATGTTAAGGACTAACCGTTATAATAAATACATTTGTATTGATTTTAAGATCTTTTCATACAATCATACGTATTGGGATCATTTGTATTAATGTGGACCGGAGGGAGAGGGTGACAGTTTCACTTTCCTTTTTTATTTCAATTCCAACTTTGGTCATGAAGAATATGTTTCTCTGTTGTCCCCGTTCATAAAGCATAAAACAACAGCATCAGAGCACGGTGCAGAGTCTCTAGATGAGTTTACAGTAGTCCCTCGTTCTTATTGAACATCCATGTTGTAGTCCGCTGTATAGAAAACTGTAGTTTCCATAGTTTCCCCACAGCAGCAGGCGCACATTTATGACCTCTGCTGGCGCATCATAAACACGTCGGATAGTGAAAGTGCAGTCGGATTCTCTAAAGTGCCGCAGTCTCTTCTCCTAAATCCTTTTGAATTCTCCTATCCACTATCCCTTAACCCCATGACGTTTCACTCCGAGGTCAAGGAATAGACGATAGGGTTAGAACTTAGGAGCTGTTTTTTTGGAGTATTCGAACGCAACCTAGGCTTGTTTGAGACAAGCGAGACCTGCGCAGACCTGCGCAATTGCGATCAACGTCTTGCTAGTGCGTTGCATGATGGTTAGTCATTTTGTCCGACTTGCTCTGGAGGCTCGCCTACATGAGACGTTGAAATCTCGCGGGACAAAGACGCCCGCAGACTTGAGAGCGAGGCGCGGCGAGGCGGCGCAGTTTCTCTCCACGGGCTGCGGAAGCGAAATGCTTGATGGGAAACGACTTGCTGGTATCTCGAGCTGAGCGCTCATTGGTGGGTTTTACCCATAGACTGTATATATAAGGTTTTACCCCGTGCTGGTGATGAAACTCTCCATTGGCTCGGCAAAAGTGTGTTGTTTTGTGTCAGTTTTACGTCGCCACTTCCATTCACATTTTTCATCATTGTTCCACAATGTTTATCATCATTAAATTAATATCTATATATTTGTATACTACACTTGCACTGCTTACCGTTGTCATACTTTATATATCTTAGCATATTCATACAACACACTGTTAATACTAGGCTAGGCTACTGTGTATATAGTGTATTCATACCCCTCACTGTTTATTCATCATTCAATTTATTCTATATTTTATTCTGTAGATTGTGTACATTACTTTTCACTTTACTGCTTTATGCACTCCTGGTTAGAAGCTAAACTGCATTTCGTTGTCTCAGTACCTGTAATCTGTGCAATAACAATAAAGTTGAATCTAATCTTGAGCAGGAACAAATGTATTTACTTAGTACATATCTGACATTAACGATTAAACACATTTGTCCATTCTTAATCAATCAATCAATCAATCAATCAATGTTTATTTATATAGCCCAATGTCACAAATGTTACATTTGTCTCAGTGGACTTCACAGTTTGTACAGAATATCAGTATGACAAAACGACACCCTCTGTCCTTACGTTTCACATCATACAAGGAAAAACTTCCAGAGAAAAACCCACAGTTTAAAGGGGAAATGGGAGAAACCTCAGGGAGAGCAACAGAGGAGGGATCCCTCTCCCAGGACGGACAGACGTGCAATAGATGCCGTGTGCATTTATAAATGCAAACCGAGTCAAGCCGACTCCGGAGGTGGCGGTATGCACCTTAAAGTTGTTTGAAATCCGCCAAAAAACCGAGAGAAGAAGAAGAAGAAGCCGACTCCGAGCTGTCCGACTTCAGGCGAGCTTTTTGAGACCTCCCCCGGCTGCGATCGGCTATTCTCGTCTACTTTCGAGGCGAACCGCAGCTCGTCTCAAACAAGCCTAATGTGTGAAGTACAGACCAACTGGAATGTTGTTAAAGCAAAGGCAACACAACATAACCAGAATTGATTTAAAATCATAATTGCAGAAATAAACATCTCTTAACAATACTTCCATTGCAGAAAACACATCCAGAAACATCCGTAACATTTATACTCACAAGAGTCAAAACAAACAAAAACACACATCAATAAAAGGGCATATTTTAATTTAGTTGATAAATGCGTGTCATCTTCAAAACTATTTTATGTGGTATTTCTTGATATTCTCCAGCAAAAGAAAGTCAGAAATATTTATAGTAAGGATGAAAATAAAGTCAAAATTACAACTTTTAAGGTTTCAGATTGTAAGCAACAAATGCCACTTAATGTTTTGATGTGTATCGATCATTTCATGCTCATTTAACCAGACCAGACAGTTAATATATAAATACAAATGTCTCTGCATAAAATCACACCTGCTGCAGGAACATGGAACTGAGCCAGCATGTCCTGTTTTAAGACAATAAACCTGTCACCGATAAATACTGTACATGACAGCTACAATGAAAGTTGTTCAGAATTTGCATATTGTGCTGAAGCACTGTAATCACAAGTTATGACCATAAATCTCACTGCTTTACCGTCAAATATGTTCTTACGCCTCAAGGTTTACTGCAAGGAATTCCTTGCAGTAAAAAATGTATGACAGTGGGATCAAAAGACAGTCTAATTCACCCACCTACATGCTAACAGACCAAGTATAGATTTGTTGGTACCTTTGTGTTGCTTATTACCATTATGTGACCTGTTCGCAGGATTAGGTTTACATAAAACTAAGAAACATGTAAACACCAGCCCAACACGAGGCTCATCTATGAAAGGACTGCCATGTTTGAAGCAAATATCTGCACTGGTATTTTCATCCCTTAAACATCCAGTGTCCCCACATCATTAGTTTGAATTCAGTTTTACATTTATTTGAATCCCTCAAAAGCTAGTGTGTAAAATCAGACCAAGACAATTGAGAACAGCCCAGTAACAAAGGTGAACATTTGAACGTTTAGAGGAAGCCGGGAGCAGTCTTGTTTGGCACAACTTGCTGTACATATAATAAATGGGTTTTTAAAATAACGTTTTTCCTAATGCTCAAAGACGCTTACATATTATGAGTCTATAGTGCATTTCTCAAGGTTGAAAGAGATCGGCAAGTGGTTTTAGTTTAGTGCATTATATAAAAGTTGTTTAGATATTGCTTTGATGTGATACAGGCCCAACAAAAGACACCACTAGTTCCAGTTATCAGGCAGATAGGACTTTATTTCAATGGATCAGTGTCTTTTTACAATGTGAAATGTTTTTTGAACAAACAAGTTCTCCTTCTTCAGATCAGTGTCCATGAGTCCCACGATCATCTGAAAGAGAGGACATTCGATAAGTGCAAAGAAAAGCAAATACTGTGGTTGTAACAGCTTAGCACAGCTATAGTTACTACTTTGTCAGCAATCAACTTAACTCTGTTTATTATCTGTGTCTTTGTACATCCCAGCAAGTCTAGTCAAGCCCTTAAATGATACATGTAATGAGTCTATAAATTAAGTCAGGGGAATCAATCTTGGATTCTGAACAAACCCAGCAAGATATAACACATTTCTACATCATATTTCACACAAAGCTTCTCTACAGGACACTTGACAAACAGGTTTGTGTCATGAGCAGATCCTGATCCACTCAACAATCTGCCAGTAATTCCAGTTTTAGATTCATCACAACAGAAGCAGTCAGTGGTTCGTTTTGACAGACAATGCAATTTTACCTGCACAAAGTGAGTGTTCTTCCGTCAGCTGGTTTGGTTGGATGTTTATGCAGCACTGCATGACTACAGCACATCTTATGGCAGCTCACAGGCCTTTCGCTATAGAGGGAAATTAGGTTGAAATCTGTTAAATGTCATTAGTCGCGCCTTTTTCAAATCATGTTTTATATCTGCATCATCAATGTTCAGAAAACCGAGTATCACCACTAACAATCTGCCGGTAATTCCAGCTATTTCAGTTTTAGATTCATCACAACAGAAAAAGCAAGTTGTTTTTATGACCGACAATGGACTTTTACCTCAAAAAAAAAAAAGGGATGTTCTTCTGTCAGCTGGTTTGGATGGAAGTATGCGCAGCACTGCTTGACTACAGCACATCTTATGGCAGCTCACAGGTTTTTTTTCCTACAGAGGAAACCAAGTTTGAATTGAGTTAAATGCCATTAATCCAGTTCATCAAGTTGCATAAATGCATCTTCAATGTTCAGAAAACCGATCATCACCACTAACAATCTGACGGTAATTCCAGCTATTTCAGTTTTAGATTCATCACAACAGAAGCAGCTAGTTTGATTTTATGACAGACAATGCACTTTTACCTGCATAAAGTGAGTGTTCTTCTGTCAGCTGGTTTGGTTGGAAGTATGCGCAGCACTGCATGACTCGACACAGCTTAGGGCAGCTCAGGCGTTTTGCTACGGAGGGAAATTAGGTTGGAATGTGTTATGCTATTATTCAGTCTTGTTCTGAAATATATCTGCATCATCAATGTTCAGAAAACCGATCATCACCACTAACAATCTGACGGTAATTCCAGCTATTTCAGTTTTAGATTCATCACAACAGAAAAAGCAAGTTGTTTTTATGACCCACAATGGACCTTTACCTCCAAAGAAAATGGATGTTCTTCGTCAGCTGGAAGTATGCGCAGCACTGCATGACTACAGCACATCTTAGGCAGCTCACAGGTTTTTCCTACAGCGGGAAACGAGGTTGAAATGAGTTAAATGCCATTAATCCAGTTCATCAAGTTACATAAATGCATCTTCAATGTTCAGAAAACCGATCATCACCACTAACAATCTGACGGTAATTCCAGCTATTTCAGTTTTAGATTCATCACAACAGAAAAAGCAAGTTGTTTTTATGACCGACAATGGACTTTTACCTCCAAAAAAAAAAAAGGGATGTTCTTCTGTCAGCTGGTTTGGATGGAAGTATTCACAGCACTGCATGACTACAGCACATCTTATGGCAGCTCACAGGTTTTTTCCTACAGAGGAAAACAAGTTTGAATTGAGTTAAATGCCATTAATCCAGTCCATCAAGTTACATAAATGCATCTTCAATGTTCAGAAAACCGATCATCACCACTAACAATCTGACGGTAATTCCAGCTATTTCAGTTTTAGATTCATCACAACAGAAGCAGCCATTTTATATTTATAAACAACGCAATTTTACCTGCAAAAAAAAAATGTATGTTCTTCAGTCAGTCGGTTCAGTTGGAAGTATGCGCAGCACTGCATGACTACAGCACATCTTATGGCAGCTCAGGCTTTTTGCTACGGAGAGAAATTAGGTTGAAATGCGTTATGATATTATTCAGTCTTGTTCTGAAATATATGCGCATCATCAATGTTCAGAAAACCGATTATCACCACTAACAATCTGACGGTAATTCCAGCTATTTCAGTTTTAGATTCATCACAACAGAAGCAGACGGGTTGTTTTTTATGACAGACAATGCACTTTTACCTGCACAAAGTGAGTGTTCTTCTGTCAGCTGGTTGGGTTGGATGTTTATGCAGCACTGCATGACTACAGCACATCTTAGGGCAGCTCAGGTGTTTTGCTACAGAGGGAAATTAGGTTGAATGTCATTAGTCAAGCCTTTTTCAAATCATGTTTTATATCTGCATCATCAATGTTCAGAAAACCGATTATCACCACTAACAATCTGACGGTAATTCCAGCTATTTCAGTTTTAGATTCATCACAACAGAAAAAGCAAGTTGTTTTTATGACCGACAATGGACTTTTACCTCCAAAAAAAAATGGATGTTCTTCGTCAGCTGGAAGTATGCGCAGCACTGCATGACTACAGCACATCTTAGGCAGCTCACAGGTTTTTCCTAGAGGGAAACGAGGTTGAAATGAGTTAAATGCCATTAATCCAGTTCATCAAGTTACATAAATGCATCTTCAATGTTCAGAAAACCGATCATCACCACTAACAATCTGACGGTAATTCCAGCTATTTCAGTTTTAGATTCATCACAACAGAAGCAGACAGTGGTTGGTTTTTATGGCAGACAATGCACTTTTACCTGCACAAAGTGAGTGTTCTTCTGTCAGCTGGTTCAGTTGGAAGTATGCACAGCACTGCACGACTACAGCACATCTTATGGCAGCTCACAGGCCTTTTTCTTAAGGAAACATGGTGGAAATGGGTTAAATGTTATTAATCCAGTCTTTTTTTTTTTTCATGAAGTTTCATAACTGCATCATTAATGTTCAGAAAACCGATTATCACCACTAACAATCTGCCGGTAATTCCAGCTATTTCAGTTTTAGATTCATCACAACAGAAGCAGCCAGTCTGATTTTATGACAGACAGACAATGGACTTTTACCTGCAAAAATTGATGTTCTTCGTCAGCTGGTTTGGATGGAAGTATGCACAGCACTGCATGACTACAGCACATCTTATGGAACCTCACAGGTTTTTTCCTACAGAGGAAAACAAGTTTGAAATGAGTTAAATGCCATTAATCCAGTCTCCATCAAGTTACATAAATGCATCTTCAATGTTCAGAAAACCGAGTATCACCACTAACAATCTGCCGGTAATTCCAGCTATTTCAGTTTTAGATTCATCACAACAAAAGCAACCAGTTTATATTTATAAACAACGCAATTTTACCTGCACAAAAATGTATGTTCTCCAGTCAGTCGGTTCAGTTGGAAGTATGCGCAGCACTGCATGACTACAGCACATCTTATGGCAGCTCAGGCTTTTTGCTACGGAGAGAAATTAGGTTGAAATGCGTTATGATATTATTCAGTCTTGTTCTGAAATATATCTGCATCATCAATGTTCAGAAAACCGAGTATCACCACTAACAATCTGACGGTAATTCCAGCTATTTCAGTTTTAGATTCATCACAACAGAAGCAGACAGTTTGTTTTATGATGAAAGTATATTCACCTGCAAGGAATGAGTCGTGTCCAGTCAGCTGGTTTAGTTGGGAAGACGAGGAACAATCCATGACATCACAGGCAGCTCATAAGGTTTTCATCTACATAATGGAACAAGGTAGTAATTAGTCAAGTGACATTAAGACCAAATAGGTACATTATTTATGATCAAATGTTCAGAAAACCGATGGTCACCACTAAACAATCTGCCGGTAATTCCAGCTATTTCAGATTAAGATATCACATTTTACGGGCAAGGCAAATTAAACTGAACATTAAACCAACCTCAGTCTCGACTTTTCAATCATTGAGTTCAAAGAGCCACCAGAGTGAGGGCCACCTGGAGAAATAACAAGACATTTATAGTTAAAATTAGTAATCAATCATGACTTCTCAGGTGTACAGGCAAAATGTAAGTGTGATCTTGTGCAAGTTAAAATAGATATTAGTTAAGCGTACAGTAAAATGGCAAGTTTACAAAAATGAATAAACTTAATCACTCATTTTGGATGAAAAGGAGATATTTGTCTTTAGTTTCCATCACTAGTCTGACATTAAAGATGGGTATACTAAAAACATGCCATCCAAATATAGTTTCAATTAAGCAAATACAGGCTGATAGAGAACCAGCTGGTAACTTTGGTGTAGACTGAATCAAAGTTTAAAGGTTGGAGTATCGCAAATCACTTGCAATTCTACTTTCTAAACTATAATGATAAAATGAACAAATGGCAAGTTTATCATTGATATATAAAAAAAAGGGTACATATTTAACTATAAATTCCATTTCATTTTTGGCAACCACATCCGTGAGCATGACTTTTTAGTTGTCTTCACGACTTGTGGAAATACATCGAGATCAAAGGAAGTAACATTTACATGTTTGCAGTTAAATTATAAATCTTAACTAGCGAGGGTGAGATAAATTACCATGTTTAACTTTGTCTTTCATATTGTCCATCGCACAGTGATCTCCACGTGGCTGCTTGGGGCCCATCGCGGAAATGCTAACGTGACTCTTCAGCTTTAAACTCTACGACTTAACCAGAATCACAAACTAAAGCTACACTTACGTGTTGTCGAAACACTTAGTAATGTTTCTATTTACTCACTCTCAACACATTTAAGCAAAAACAACCAGGAACCAGGGACCTGGACACTTCTTGGACCTTCTGACGATTTCAAAAGAGACAGTAAAGTCGCGATGGCGCAGTATTTATACCTTGAGAGTCGCAGGAATTACACGTCACTTGTTCTTTAGTTTTCGCGCGCTACAATCCCTCGAGCTCTCCTGCCACCTGCTGTATCGGAATGTGAACAATAAATGTCCAGAGCAGAGGTGGAAGAAGTAAGTACTAGTCGTTATCGGTCGTTATCCCTCACTTAAATCCTATCTCAGTATCCATGTACCATTTTGTATGTTTTGCAAGGATGCTATTGAGTGCTTCCATGAGTTACTGGTGCCTTAGTTCTGACGTTGCCGACTTCACAGCTGTCTCTTAAAAAAAACGTTAGAAATCCAGTGGTGTAAGCAACTAAACTACATTCTCAAGTAGACTGTACTTAGCCTAAGTACAATTTTGAGATACATCATACGCGTACTTTTACTTAAGTAATATTTAATTGCAGGACTTTTAGTTAAGTAATATTTAATTGCAGGACTTTTAGTTACAACGGAGAAGTATTACAATTTAGTATGGTGTGTGTAGGCTATTTCTTTATTGTAAAATAACACCTGAGTGAAAAACGGAATATCCCCTCGTGACGTCGTGAGTTACAAAAAGGTTGATCTTAATCCTAAATTATTCTTGAAACACTTTGCCTACACGTTACCCATGTAACAACCGCGTGTCCAATTGTAAATAGCCTACACGCAGTAAGTCTACGATAAGGTATATTTATTGATCTCAAATTGGGAGATTTTTTCGTTACAGCAGCATACAAAAACAAGGCATTGCACATAATTAGAAACTAAAGAGTAGAAAATAAACAATTATAAAATAGAAACACTTCAAAAATAAAAACAGAACTAAAGAGTAGAAAATATACAAGTTGACCGTAAAGATAACAATCTGTAAACTATCTGACAGATTAAACACTATTGAAGGACCAATTTTCAGCTAGTCTCTCTGTGTTTAAATTGCATGTCTGTTTCAGATAGCAGAATCCAGAATGTGTTGAAGGCAAACAGCAGGCATTACTGTATCTGTGAGCCTGTACCATTTACTGACTGACGCTCAGGAAATCCTCCATAATTTTATCACCATGGAGGATGCAGGTAAAGGTAGAAAATACATTATCATTTGTAAAATATCTGATCATACAATGAAGAATCACTGCACATCATAACAAAGACAAAAAATAGTTTTATTTACATCATCTGTTCGATTTCAACTTTAGATGCGTTGTAGGCTACTGCAGAAACGGGTTGGTTAAGGTGAAATATTAAAAAAAAAAAGGCAATCACACACAAACTGAGATTATTAGAGATTGTATTCGTTTCCAAAATTAACGAAAGCGGCAGAAACACACAAAAAGGAGCAATTTATCCTAACGAGAGAAAAATAAAACACGGGATGAAGCTGCTGTAGCCCACTATAGGAAAATAAACTACTGCACATGCATAAAAGGAAAAATAAATTCTAGCCTTTAATTAAACAAAACCATATTTAACAAGTATGAGATTTGGTAAAAGGCCTCTCTTGGTCACGTACGTGCGTCATTGTCATGGAAACCGAACGTTGGGGCTGCAGCTGCTGACCGCTCTGAGCTCACTTTGCACTTGGACTCTGACCAGAGCACACCTTTTGCAAAACTCACCTGTGGAGAGAAAACTCTTTGAGATTCAACCTGCTGGAAAACAAAACTTCTGAGAAACGAAACTACTATAAAACAAAAGTACTGTATCCCTGATCTGCTGTGGAAAACCGGAGAGGCTGAACTAGACCCCCGGGCCCCCAGAGGAGGAGCAGCACCTGCCGCTGGCCAAAGGCCGTGATGGGAAACTACATTCAAAGTAAAAAAAAAAAAAAACGTTAAAAAATACACATTTTTTGCCTTTTAATTGTTCATATATCCCCTTAACATCTTACAAAGCTGTTTCTGTGTGGAAATTAGTGCAATATTTTTAGTTTAGAGGTGAAAAGTTCATAGAATGTTGGCATTTCTTTTGCTCAAAATCCAATTTGGAGAAAGCAGAAACTCACTCACGTTTTTTCCGTGTAAAATTAATATTTGTGGATAAGACCTACTTTTTTTTAGCACTAGATGTGTGTAATGTATTTATAAAGAGTGCAGTAATTTGAAAACACCGTTATTTTTGATTTAATTGCGAGATATCGTCGAAAAACGACCAAAAAATTACAAAAACAAAATGGCGATTGGGCCTAATTTCATAGAATGCTAAAAAATATGTCCAAGTTATGCACCATGGCAACGAAGCACAATTCCCTGCAGGGCACGTTCTTCTGTGCAGCTGCCTCCCTGAGTGTCGTTCGTTCTGATTGTTGAAGCTTTATTTATTGGAGAAATGGCTACTCCTTCTAATATATCATATTCATTACACTTTCCTTTTAACATTACATATTGAAATGGATTTTCTTGTTTAGTTTTAGAGGGGGGAGATTTGTGCGCGGTCTGCGTCCAAGATGACTAACTCCTACTTAAACTATAGGAAAAATAATTACTTATAAACTAAAGGAAAGTCTGCAAATACTGTGGTCATTTTACATAGTTACTCTGCGCAATGGTCCCATGGATATGAATGCTGCATATATAATTGAATGCACCCTCTTTTTTGGAACCAATTATAGTTTGTCCACACATAGCCTACACAGTTTTTTCTCGGGATCTGGGTCTTGCATTCCCCACAGTCAGCATTTATTTGTTTGCACATTTTGTAATGTTGCATTTTGGTTTAAAGAAGGCTTTGCTGCTGCGGAAGAAGCGGTGCGTAAAATGCGCAGAGCAAGCTTCTCCTTTACTTGTCCAACAAATATAGAGCGCTGTTTATGTGCACTTCTGTTTTATAAAAAAACCAGTTTGGAGATATTAAAATAACGAAAATAATATTGCCAATAACAAAAATCCCAATTAGCATATTTCTTGTCGTCACTGTTTATCAGAACAATAATATAATGTATTATCCCCAGTGTTATTCTAACCACAATTATGTTTTAGCAGGCTTTTAACAGGTTCTCCTGTCATGTCTTGTAAATTAAAGTCATAGTTAGGATATGCATGTGCTATTTCTTTCCTATCATCGATTATTGCTAAATAATCCCACATATTACCTGTGACTAGAAATCCTTACACTCTGAATTCCCCCCCCCCCCCCCTCTACAGGCTCTGTGAACTTCATCATGGATCCTCCTGCAGGCGATGAAGGTAATCTCCCTGTCTACAACGCTCCTGATGAGGAAGAGGTAGGTGAGGTCAGGAACGCTGTCAAGGATGAAGGTGAGTTTGCTGTCGGTTTTTTAGGTGGAGGTCATGGACTGAGGGAAGAGGAGGAGGAGGAAGAGGATTTGGAAGAGGAAGAGGAGCAGGAAGAAGAGGAGGAGGAAGAAGAGGACACTGAAGATTATTGTGGTGACAGTGATGACAGTGATGACAGTGATGACAGTGATGACGGTGATGACGGTAATCTCCCTGTCTACAACGCTTCTGATGAGGAAGAGGTAGGTGAGGTCAGGAACGCTGTCGGGGATGAAGGTGAGTTTGCTGTCGAAGACGAAGAGGAGGAAGAGGAGGAGGAAGAAGAAGAGGAGGAAGAAGAGGACACTGAAGATTATTGTGATGACAGTGATGACAGTGATGACAGTGATGACGGTGATGACGGTGATGCCGATATCGGACGTCTCCCCCCTCTCACTCAGCAATTCCCGCCGGTAAAAGTTTGGGAGGTATTGCGTGGGACCTTCACTCCAAGCTTCCTCCCTGCACATCCCTGCTCCCTCCCTTTGGATGTTGCCCCCCTAGAGGTTTCTGCACCGCGACTGGAACGTCCTGAAGAAGCTCCACCCTCAGCCCCTCCGAGATCAGGCTTCATCTTCTCCACGAAGAGGATCAGGGAAGAGGACTCCATCGACTCGGCACTATCCACATCGGGCCCCGGCTTCTCTACCAAGAGGTTCAGGGAAGATGACTCCAGGGACTCGGCACCCTCCACCTTAGGCCTCTGCTGCCCCATGGTGCCCCTTTCTGTCCAGCAGCGCCCACCCGTGACCTTTTGGCAGACATTTTGCCCTGTTGCCCCTCCGGAGGATTCTGCGCCGCAAGTGGAACGTCCTGAAGAAGCTCCATCCTCAGCCCCTCCATCGACATCAGGCCTCGGCTTCTCCACCAAGAGGACCTGGGAAGAGGCATGCAGGGAAGAGGACTTTATGGACTCGCCAACCCCCACTTCAGGCCTCGGCCTCTCCACCAAAAGGACCAGGGAAGAAGACTTTAGGGACTTGACACCCTCCAGCTCAGGCCCCTGCCCCCCCCTGGACAAGAGATACCGTCCAGAGGACCACAGGCTCCCTGAAGACAGCGACTCGGACTGAGACGGACATCTGCTGCAGGATTTGAAAACCTTTGCGTCTGGCAGGACTGATGAAGCCCCAGGCAGCTTCAAACACATCTTTCTGGGTTGGCAATAGGTCAGATCTTGCACCAGGGCTTAATTGTATTAATATGTCATTTTTCATTTCGATATTTTTTTCTTTTGGATAATAATTGATGATGGTCGATGCTCATACCAGGTTTTGTGATAGGTCAAAAATTGCATTGGGGCTTTTTATTGATATATTACTGTCTTTTTAATATTATTTGATAATGGTCAATGCTGATAGCAGAGGGAAGAGGAAGAGGATGAAGAGGACGTTGTAGACGATGGTGTATCTCTCCCCTCTCGTCCAGCATGCTCCCACCTGCAAGTATTTGCTATACTCGCTAACATAACTCTTGCCTCTATCAGGACTGATGAAGCCCCAGGCATCTTCAAACACGTCTTGCTGGGTCGATAGGTCAAATGTTGCACCAGGGCTTTTATTAATATATTACTTAATTTTTTATATCGTTTTTACTTTTGGATCAAATGTGATGATGGTCGATGCTGATACCAGAGGTAAGTTAACATGGTATGGTTGTGTATTCTTTCTTTTTAAAGTATAGATGGCTTTGCAAGACAGGTAAGTAAATCGTTTAAGACAGTGAGTGGTTCAACTAATTCAAGCACATTTACTCAAGTACTGCTCAGTTTTTTCTAGGTGCAACATATAGTGCTAAAGCAGTGACTATCACGAAAAGTCTCCAAGTCTCTTGCAGGTTTTCTAACAGGTCTCCAGCATTACCCACGCTGCATCAACCTTCCTACAAAAAGCAACTCCGTGGAATATTGAAACTCAAGGATGTTCGGACGAAGAAGATGAGCAGACCACACCAAAAGAAAGGATGACAACTGATTAAGAGCGGGGTCGTCTTTTGGGGCGTAGTAAGTGATCCCCTCACAAGGATTGTATTTATTATTGGAGTTTTATCATATTTGTCCATCATTGGAGGTTACATTTAACAGCTTGCAACAGTTCAGAGGTTGTATATTTGAGTATTTATTGTTTGTGTTTCTGTCTCACAGGGCAGGACTCCTCTTGCTGAGAGTGGATCACCAACCGATGATCCCAGAAAGACCCAGCACCACAGCAGAGCGCTCTCAGCTTAGTCCCAGACCCTGTGAGTACAGTAAGGACCTCCATGCCCTTCACCCCAGCCCCCGACAACCCCCGCTCTACCCACCAGCCGAGAGGACGAGGAGCTCCCCAGCCCGACCAGCACAGAGGACGTTGTTACATCTTCTTCTTCTTCTTCTGTGTTGGTGGGATCGGGAAGCTCCTCACACACACAGGAAGCTTTCACCACCTCCACATCTGTGCTCAGGAAACAAGAAGGAAATATTACTTTGAATGACATCTTGAATAAATAAATAAACATTTATCAAACATGATTTTGTTTGAATACTCAATTCTGATTGGTAAATTTGGACATTTCAGAGGTTAATACTCGCTAACACAACTCTGCTAAGGATCTAGTGACCCTTAGCAGAGGTGTGCTAAGAAGGATAAAGGGACTACGTGCAGTCCTATCAATCCGCAGAAAGAAGTCCGGCCGGTATAACGTCAGCTGTGGACAACAAACATTAGATTGCTTCGTCAGAAAACACAGTGGAATACTTTTTTAATATTCATTTTTATATTTGTGGAGAGCACCAAACGTTGGATTCTTGAAGGCTAAACTCTCCCGTAAAGAAAAGAGAACAAGAGAAGGAAAGAGGCGTTGGGATCCATGATTATTCTGCCAGAACTAGAGTATGATGTACTCGGGTAGAAGTACCGAAGTGTAGGAATACTCTGTTACAAGTCCCTGCATAATGTTACTCAATCACAAAAATAAACGTATTAGCATCAAAATATACATAAAAAAGTAAAAGTACTCATTATGCAGATTTCAGAATAATATAGTATATGTTTTGATTGTAATGTTTATCAAAGCTTGTAATGTGTAGCTAGTTTTTATTACTTTGTAGGCTGAAGCTTGTGATTTTACTCCAGGTTTAATTTTTTTTGTGTGTTGACTGTATTTCACATCATTAATCCAATTCTGAAAATGTACTAAAGGTACTAAATAAATGTAATGGAGTGCATGATTTAACTCTGAAAGATAGATAGATAGATAGATAGATAGGTAGGTAGATAGATAGATAGATAGATAGATAGTTACTTTATTGATCCCAATTTGGGAAATGTTTGCGTTGCAGCAGCATAAAAACCACAAGGCAATGTACATAAGAAAAATGAAGACACAGAAATAAACAGTCCAAAATATTTCAGAAATAGAAATAAAATAGCATAAAAAAGTTATGTTAAAAATTAAAAAAAAAGATATACATGTGGAAATACAAATTTCCAGTAACAAATATAAAGCAGGATATTATTTTGCAAGAATGGATTATTCAATATTAAATAGAATATGAATGTAAAATGTACAGTGGGAGTTCAAGTCCAGTTATGAAGAGAAGCTATGGAGCAGAGAGTTCTCTGCCAGCCAGAGGTGATTTGTTAGAGAGTTATTGCAGTGGGCAGGAATGTTTTCCTGTATCTATCCTTGTGACAGCGGAGCTGCAGCAGTCTGTTGGAGAAGGACCTCCGCTGGCCATAATTACACATTCAAATGAGAAGACACTTGATTTTTGGAGATACACTGATGTTGTTAATCATCAGTGAATTGTGTAGGAACACCCTGTGGCCACAGGGTAGAGCTGTTTCTCAGGTATTCACTCATACAGGGAGAATCTCATGAATTGAATGTTTGTCTGTCTGCTGTCAGTCAGCAGATTCAGTTCGGTGCTGTGAGACTCATTTTGCTTTGTTCTGGATTTATTTTCTCAGCTACCCTTGGATATAACATCACATCTCCAGGCCCAGAACACATTACCTCCAGCAGTTTAAGCTTCCAGTTTCAGGTAAAGTTGTTAAACTTACTAAAACTCTTCTGATTTTTCTGCTTTTAATTTTTTATAAATGCCTATTTTTCCTTCTCTGCTGATGCTCCATCCTGTTTGTTCAAACACACTTTGCTTCTACCACATCCTCCCTTAAACAGTGACTTATCAATACGAGAACATGTAGCGTTAATACAAATGCAAAAACAAAATACCTTTATTTTATATGAAACTTGTGCACTTTTCCGCTATGTTATGTTAATGTTAGTTCACTTTAAAATGTTTCTGATTTAATGCACAGTCTGCATATATTAATGCCAACTTTTTGATATTTGCTTTATTCCAGGAAAACTTGGAAGACCTTATCAATCTTCCCTGGTTTGTGTGTGTGTCTTGAAGTGAATGAAAAGTGGGCTTGCTGTCAGTGAGCTTGATAACCTGAAGGCGTGTTTGTGTGTGTGTGTGTCTGTGTTCATTGATCAACTGCAGCAGCATGTTACCACCTGTGAAGAAGGACCGGGTCATTTCTCACCTTCCACATGTTAGTACCTACCCCACACACACACACACACACACACACACACACACACACACACACACACACACACACACACACACACACACACACACACACACACACACACACACACACACACACACACACACACACACACACACACACACACACACACACACACACACACACACACACACACACACACACACACACACCTCTAACCGTGTTAATATTAGTGATGAGGTTATTTTGGCCTAAATGCATCTCTTTGTTTCTCTGAGATTAGGCTGCACATTTTGAAAATGCTGCTGTCCTCAGAAAATCTTATTACCTTTAGTTATATTTAAGTTATATTTAAGAAATAAACAAGGACTGTTTTCATGGCTCTTTTAAGGCTTATTCATGGTAATTAAGGTTTTCTCTGGATGGCAACAATGTAGAGAAAGGCAGAGACGATTTCACTTTGTGATATTCTGGCTGCTTCTTTTTAAAAATCCACTTTGTCTTTCACTGTCCAATGTGCTCACTTCCATAAGTCGCTTTTCTTCACAGTGTTTCAGTACAAATGCAGCGCTGCACACCAAAGATGGCTTCCACCCTCAGGTGAAGGCTGCCTGCCAGGTTCAGAGGACGGACTCAGTGAGGTGAGATCAGAAGAAGACACAAGTTCCCCCATCCTGCAACTACACACTGTTTAAAGTAAATGAGTTAGTAAGGGCAGGGCACTTTAAGTCACGCTATGTCTGCTGACCACGAGCCTGACTTCTAACTCTATTGATCTGGAGTGTCTCTGTAATAGATAAAGCCGGTGATATTTCTTAAAGGTGGGGTAGGTAATTCTCTTCAGAAACACTTTTGTTATATTCCATGGAATGCTCTTACAGTTTTTCTCGATTGCTAACACACATTGTTTTTTTAATTGCTCAGTTTCTCAGAACACTAAACACAATTCACAAAACCCCACACCCAAAGTGCAAAACACCTCATTTCTACTGCTAAATGAAGAACTGCACTCAAAACTACATAAACACTTACCAAATGCAAACTTTTGCACCAAATATAACACACCAAATTTGACCACCCAACTACACACTGCTGAGCATAATCTAAAGCGCTTTCATCCTGTATGGGCTATGCTCTGTACATAGAGGTTTCTGCAGAGAAAGATTGCTTTATATACAGAAATACAGTAAATGAAGAAATACAAATTAGTTGTTGAAAAAAATCACATTTTATTCAAAAATAACATTGTGCAACATGCATCTCAGCACAGAGTTACTATGCTTCGGATCTCTCTAAGTGTGATGCATTGTTTGCCAAAACCCAGTTTGTAACTGCTGCTTCCTGTGCCTCATTGAAAATCCTTAGCCTTCCACCTGCACATCTTTTTCTCAGTCCTTCAGATAAACAACAAAGATATACTTATGTGGTTGGTCAGTGTCTGCGCTGCATAAAAGTAAGTTTACCACAGTACATTGTGCAGGATTTCTGTACAGTTATAGTATGCATAGATTAGGCTGAACCCTCTGTCCAGCCTCTCTCATCGTCACACCATGGTTGATAACATTTCATTTCATTAGAGAGTATTCTTCTTTGTCCATGTCCTCTCCCTCCAGCTCTACCTCTCATTCTTCCTCCTCTCACTCTCAGCCCAGCTCTTCCTCTTCCTCTTGCTTCCATGTTGGCTTCCATTGTTGCTGTAAGAAAGTACTCACCTGTGGTCTTTTTATAGTGCTAACATCCTGATTGATGAGCCAACAATTATGCTATCAGGTGTTTGGTCAGGTGGAACGTGTTTCTTGATCATTGGTCCATGTGTGAGGCATTTTGAATATCAGTGTTTTAAACCAGCTAACACGTGACTTCATGTCAGATTCTTGTGTCTTACGTTAAGAAACGTGTGCAGTGGTTTGCAAAAAGTGCCATGTTGATTTGCAAATTGTGTGAAAAGCTGAAAACGTGTTTTGGAGATTTGAGCCGATGTTTTGCTCTTTGAGTGTCAGTTAAAATAATTGAGCTTTATGTATAATTTTAGTGTGTTAGCAATCGAGAAAAACGGTAACATCCCGATAGCAATGAATACATGAAATGCTTTGACAATAAATACATTAAAACAATTCATCTGTGGAAGCCGTGGCGCTGTAAAAAGCACGACCAATCATCTGAGCTGGCCCTGCTAAAATAACTGGATGGCCTACCTGCCTGTCAGCCTTCCATCGGGGCACAAACTTATCTCGTGCCCTCATTGGTCATGTGCGCGTTGGTGTGTGTTGGAGGAGGGGCTCTGTAAGGAAGTCTGAAGGAAGGGGCAGATTTTTTTCGGCTACGTACTTTCAAATTCTGGCGCACTCGAGCTGGTTTCTCCATTCTTACCTACATAAGAATCACATAAAACATTTGATAAGTGCATCTCTCAATACTTTACAGCTGTTACACTCATAAACCTTAACAAACTTATCACAAATTTGACTCATAAAGCTGTTTTGGATTTGCATCAAGGGGTCTGGGCGGAACCTTTTTGAAGGGGTAAAATGATGTCCGCATGTTAATAATCATGTTGCTGTTACTGTGTGTTTCATGCTGTTGTGGGGTCATGAATGACTGTTTTGTCTTTCTGTTGCCAGCTTTAATCTTGCCAAGGTCATCGTAGTGGGAGATGTTGCAGTTGGGAAAACGTGTCTGATCAGCAGGTGAGAAGAAGTCATGAATAATAAGATCCATTAAAGGATTATGTGGTATTACATTTTTTATTGAAATGTGATCTGATTTTTATTATGAAAGCATTACTTGTTCAAGCCTCTCCTCAGTAGTGCTGAAGGGCATCATTACAATGTCTTCAACAAAAACATGGCTGAACCTAATCAAATTTAAACTGATTTGATAGAGATGATGCAATTTAACATTGTTCCAAAACAGAGCATGAAACTTATGTGAGGCACATAATGTTTATTACTAACGTTACTCTTGTCCCTAATTGAGTTATACGTTGATGTTCTCTTTTTGATAAACACAAAAATCATTTCATAGACCTATTACATTTCTAAGTTATAGATGAGTGATCTCATTATGCTTATTTGACCTTTTTGCTTAATCATTGAAGTGCTGGAAATCTGCCAGCTAAAACAAAGAAACTTACTTTTTTTGATACATTTTACTTATGCACTACTTGCCACAAAACTTTGCCAATGAAAATATAAACCAAGGCCCTTTCAGTCTTTGTGTGCGATTAATTGTTTCCTTTTGAAGGAATTTGAACCAGTGACAAGCTTTTAGAAAAGAAAACGTTATAGAAGTAGCCAATTGTAGCTGATGTTCTTGTTTGCTTATGTAGATTTTATCGAGGCATCAGTTTCAAATTGAGACATATCACATAATTTCTGACAATTTATAGACCAAATGATTAATCAAAAACAGTTAACAGTGGAGAAATAAATTGCTAATAAAAGACATTGATGATTGTTGGTTCTCTTTCCCTCTGCGCTCCTTTAAGGTTTCGTAAGGGTGCGTTTGATAAGAACTACAAAGCAACTATAGGGGTGGATTTTGAGATGGAGCGCTTCGAGGTGCTCGGTGTTCCCTTCAGTCTACAGCTGTAAGTATGTCACTACAAAACAGACTAAAAAACCAACTACCTCACTGCACTGACTGAGCATCAGGGTCAACAAGCTCTCAACAAGTTTGACCTTGACATTATAACCTGTTCATGACTCTTAACTCAACGTGAAGGACTCACTTGTTGCTTAATATTCCAACACCACAATCAAAGCTGCATCTGATCCATTTCAGGTGGGACACAGCGGGTCAGGAGCGCTTTAAATGCATCGCTTCAACATATTACAGAGGAGCACAAGGTGAATGAAGCTCTACAGCACACTGTTACATATCTCATGATAGAGTATTGTGTATATTCTCTCACACACAAACACCTTTTCATTGTTTGTACTGCTTGTCTCTCCAGCCATTATAGTGGTGTTTGACTTGAGCAGTGTCAGCTCTTTAGCACATGCCAGGTAAGAAATAATGATCAAATTATTGTACCATTAAAATACAAGTTGAGGCTGAATCACAAGTGTGTATGTGTGTGTGTTTGTGTGTGCAGGCAGTGGCTGGAGGACGCCATGAAGGAAAATGACCCCTCCAGTGTTTTACTGTTCCTTGTCGGCACCAAGAAGGACCTTAGTGTGGGTGCAAGTATTCCAAAAACAAGACTGTTAATTAATAAGTGGATTGCCAACAACAACAAAAACGGCAACAATGAAATACAAATTTGAAGATTTGTTAATGGTATGTTTTAATGTTATTTTAATGGCTGGTGTGATTTTTCCTATAATATAAATTAAAGATTTGGCATTTTGTCAACTCCTATCAAAATCAGCCAAATACGTTTCTGTTGATTGACGAACCATCGAATCAACTCATCAGTTTAGCTCTGAATATGTAAGCAGATTATCAACCTGATTCTATAGTGCCTTCAGTCTATTGTTCCCTGTTACATTGCCTCCTCTCTGTCTCTCTCTACTCAGTCTCCTGAACAGTTGTCTCAGATTGAGCAGGAAGCCATCAGACTCTCTGAGGAAATCAAAGCCGAGTACTGGGCTGTGTCTGCCAAGTCAGGTGGGATTCAGTCACACATCCCATAATCTGTCACCCCTCCATCCCTTCATCCCTTCATGCTTTCATTTTCTGTCTTTCTCTCTCACTAAACTCTTTCCCCGTCTCTTCATCGTCTCAGGAGATGGTGTCATGAATTTCTTCTTCCGTGTGGCCTCTCTGACTTTCGAGGCTAACGTGTTGTCTGAGCTCGAGAAAAGTGGTGCGAGAAACGACGGTGACATTATCAGTAAGTCAGTTTACTCAATCAAGTCTCATTATTAATAAGCCAGCATCATACTAACAACTTTTTATTTTATTCAATTACAAACTAGTTCCCCAATTATTATAGATTCTATTATATAGAATAGAATTGGAGGGATGAAACCCTCTTTAATGGTCACACATGCAGAGCACACAGCACACACATAGGGGCGTTCACACCAAGTACTTTTCACACCAAGTATAGTGGCGGTTTCTCAATGTCGAGTAAGCCTGCTGCAGAGCCACTATTTCAAGTATACTACGTCATCGAGTGGCCGAAGGACTGTTTAAATGCATGTTAAATGCCCAGCATTCGGCGCCACTCGATGACGTAGTATACTTGAAATAGTGGCTCTGCAGCAGGTATACTCGACATTGAGAAACGGCCAGAGACATTTGTTCTCTGCATTTAACCCATCCTAGTACCAGGGGTCTAGTAGGAGCAGTGGGCAGCTATTGTACAGCGCCCGGGGAGCAATGGGAGTGAGGGGGTTGTCCGGTGCCTTGCTCAAGGGCACCACGGCAGGGCCTAGGAGGTGAACTGGGACCTCTCCAAGTAGCAAGTCCACACTCCATATTTTAAGTCTGTTCGGGGACTTGAACCAGCGACCCTACGGCTCCCAGTCCAAGCCCCTACTGACTGAGCCACTGCCGGCATTGCTCAGGCATCTGTGCCTCTTAGATGTTAAGACAACAAATCTATGATAAAAACATAACCAACCATGTCTTACCCCATCTACATATACACATTTGTTTTGTAGATGTTAATTGATTAAAAAAAAAATCATACGCATACAGTATTTCTACAAATTGAGTATTACATTTGAGGCTACTCAAAAAGCAGTAGTTCATGGATTTATTGGGGCTATTTCCAGCTGCAGATTAATATCAATTTAGTAATAAGTGTCCGCCAAATTTGTTTTGTTTGTAAACTCGTAAAGTTAAAGGTGAGCTGCGTTTGTTTTGAAAAAAAAAAAAAGTTCTGTTTTCATTCAGTGCTTCCTACCAACTCACATTGGGTGTTTCTTTGAGGTTAAAACAATGTCAAATGCCTTTCTCAGGAAGAAACTGCAAAGCTGAAATATTTCAAACTTTACGTCGTTGACATCCACGTTCACTTGCTAGCAGTTTTATTTTTCCCTCCTGTTCCTCACACTGTCAGTCAGTGAAACAGCGTGAACAGGGACAGGAATGTGTATCGTTTGCATGAAACAGAGGCTCACTTGTGAAGACTGTGTTCTTTCTGAGAGTGCTGCTTGTAATGAAATGACTACATGTGCCCTCTTATCAGCAGTTGAGCCACAAAAGGATGTTTCTTCTTAGATATTTTACACATACTATTACTGAAACCTAATGAAATGTGCCTTTAGATCAAAGTAGAGATGTCCCGATCCGATCACGTGATCGGGGATCGGAGCCGATCACGTGATTTTCAAAAGATCGGAATCGGGAGAAAAAAATCGGGGATCGGGATTTTTTTTTTTTTTTTTTTATAACTTTTTATTTTTTTATTTAATGTTACAAAACAAAAATGACCATGTTCACGTCTTAAAGTCATCCTGAGGCCTTAGTTTTGGTTTAAAATTACACAACATCATGTATGTGTTGCTTCTTTTGGGCTTGTTTTCATAGACCTGGTTGCTTATTTCTCTCAAATCTGGCAACAGAGTGGGCAGGGCGCAGTGTCTAATAAGCTAACAAGAGGCTACGTTCAGCTGGTGCCTCGGGAGTCGGGACAGAGAGTTTGGAAGTATTATAAAATTGAAAGCGAAGGCAGTGTAACAGCCATATGCAATGTTTGCAAGGCGGAGGTTCCGCGTGGTGGAAAGAACAGAGCTACGTTCAACACGACCAATCTAATACAAACACCAACAACAACACGACGAGTACACAGCGGCCACTCAGGTAACGGCACTGAAACAACCGACATTTTCAGAGACTTTTAAAAGGAAAGAGAAACTACCCCAGAACAGTGAAAAGGCCAAAAAAAATAACAGCCAAGATAGCTGAATTCATCGCGTTGGATGACCAGCCGTTATCTGTTACCTTTTTTTTCTCTTAATGCATTGCATAAAGATCGGATCGGGAAAAATCGGTATCGGCAGATTGTCAAAATCAAATGATCGGAATCGGATCGGGAGCAAAAAAAGCTGATCGGGACATCCCTAGATCAAAGGGAACAAAGTCAAGAGAAAGACACTTCTATTCTTTCATTCTAATCCCTTTTATCATCTTGTGACCTACTTCATCAGAAATATAGTGAAAATAAGTATCCCAATACTCCTAAATGCACCAGTGTGGCTTTTATGTTTCTAGAATTCATTGTTGGTACAGTATTATACAGCTCTATCATTCAAACCCTTTCTGCTGTATCTCACATTGTTCCCTTTCAAGCCAAATCAATTGTTTAATTTGAATGTGTGTTCCTCCCAGGACTCACAGACGGCACAGAGGCCGATCGGACACCAACCAAGAGGAAATCCAACTGCTGCTGATCAGAAAATGGCCGCCTGGATACACTGTACTGAGCACACAGCAACACATGACGGCACAGAGGAGGGGGAAATCAGACTGAAATATGGACTCACCATGCACACTGTGGATATAATGAACAGACCGCCTTATATAAAGTGATGAAATAACTAAAACGTGTATTTGTGTTGCTCTCAGATGGCCTGAGAGGAGGTTGTATATAATGATTTCTAAGTTAAGACAACAAGAAGTCCTCTCAGGAATGTTTGTACTGCTGGATGGAGTTACACATTTGAAAGCTTTGTAATATGCTTGTTGAAGATTACTCTTCTTTTGTTTAACTGCACTTGCTTTTATAAACACGTGTCTCCTTACCAGGCCACATGTTTTTTGGAGAGAATGTCAGTGCCAGACTCGAGTGCATTTATTTTGTTTCCTCGCCGTCATGTGTCTGTGTTGCTAATGTGAAGCCTGCGCCAGCACACATGACCGCAGTCATACCCACAACGCATCTCTCTCCTCTGACATAAGGGTTCTCATGATCTTGAAAATGGAGGGATTGTTTTCATAAATGCAAGCAAACAGGAAGTTGCATCTGAAGATAATTGATTTGCTCGCTCAGTTTTGTCAGACTGCATTTGTTCTTATCTGGAAACAGACAGTCTTTAATTACAGCTCATGGATTATGACTTGTAAATAAATTGGTTCTATCACCGTTTTGTCTTTTTGTTCAAGTAGAAAAGCTAAATAGCCGAACGAATGGTAATGTTTTGGAAAATGTGTCACATTCTGTTCCCAGCTAATCACATTTCCACACACACACAGATGTACATCACATGACCAGACTAAGTGTTTTCCCGAAAGTAGCATAGGCAAGACTCAGGGTTTAATATGAACACTTTTATTAAAGGGATCACAGGTAGAAAAGGTCATCAGCAGTGCCAAAGACATCATTCCTCCTCTCTAACGAACTACCGCCAGGAACCAATCACAGCCTCGCTGAGAAAGATGCAGTATCTTAATCTGGCGGGAGACGTACAAAAAGTACTCAAAAACCATAATTACTTCAAACAAAATGCATATTCTGGGATCTTTATACTCGGCACACAGCAATATGAAGCACACCATTGAATACCAGCGCTGCCTGTTTGTACTGTGGCAGAGGCAAGAAGACATTAAAATGCATAAGTCAAGAGGATGCAGAGAAAAACTTGCGCACGACGACCACGAGAGATTCAATGTTTTTTTTTTACGACAATATATTCCTTTTACTGAAATAGCTGCGTGTGTTATTATACACAGAAAGATATACACGCAGTGGCAAGTCAGTGTGATGGTAGCCAATACGCTGAGAGACATTTCATCCACTGACGCAACTTAATTTTACTGCTGGGAGTGAATTACAGCAGAAATGTATCACATCCTGTGGTGGTGGCACACTTCAAACCCCAGTGTCACACGTGAAATACTCACTAAACATTAAAAACCCAAGGGATTCAAATTGGAGCCAACTTAAAGAAATGACGCTCTGACACAGACATGATACTGACTTCCACTTGTTACTAAAAATCAATTGTTTAATAAATGACTGTTTCTTCACTTTCTCACATAGAAGTCCTCTCAACAACCACTGTTACCTCCAAAGGTGCATGTTGTTAGTGTCAATAGGCGTCAACAATACAATAGAGGCTATCTACAGGAGCCAAACACATAGGCAGTTGATCAGAATACAGCATGTGGTGGAGACAGACAACTAGCAGTATTTCATGTTAGAGATAAACTCAGGGGACATGAGGGTTTCTCCTTGATTTAGATTTTTAAATCAGCCTCAACACTCACATTCTACGTGTATGTGTGTTTGTGGTCACAGGTGTGGTTGTTTTAACAGATGTGAAGAGCGGAGGCTTGAGATTCAAACAGAAAAAAAACTGTTTTTATTCATTGTGACGCATTCCATACAAAAATTAAATGTCCTGATTGGCTTGGCAAAGCTCTCTTTTGGCAACTGCTCGCAAAAATCCACTAACCACTTATAGAGGGAAAGTGGGTTTTTGAAGATGAGACTGTGCGCCTCTGTCAAAACCATTCATAGATTAAACTAAAAGCAATCGCTGAAGTAAAGAAGGTAGGGCAGCTTGTGTGACATTGTCTGTGTAGGTCCATATCCTATGTGTAACTGCTGTCTGATATTTCAAGTTTCTTTTTTTTGCCATTGTACTGACTTTATGCGTAACGTATACAGTGTTACTCTGACTGTACAGAATACTAAGCAGCCAGAGGAGACGGCTGGAGGTAAGGAGGGGAACATCTGGGAGGAGATGGGGGAGGGGGAGGAGGAGGAAGGAGTTGAGATTAACCATGATGGCAGACTTTACAAACTACATCTACAATATGAGGAGGGGGAGAGGTGACTGATGAATGGACAGGGCTGAACAGTTTGAGGGTTATCCAGATGAAGAAGCAGTACAAAGGATGGAGTTGGGCAGGGGGGGGGGGGGGGGGGGGGGTAGCGACGCCCCCCTCCGTGTCCTATCGGTCCATTTCGTCCAGCAGGGGTGTGGCGTCTCCGGCGATGGACATGGGCGTGCTCTCGATCATGGGGCTGGGGGACGGGCGGGGCGTCATCCTCGGGGTCTTCTTCCGCCCCTCCGCCTCTTTCTCCTTCAGCCACTGCTCCGCCATCTTGCCCCAGTCCACTGCGGAGGCGTTGCTGCCGCTGGGCCTGCGAGAGGGAGGGGAGAGGAGAGAGAGGGAGGGGTTTTAGTAAAAGACAGAGAGCGAGGCTGCTGCTTAGCCTTAAAATCAATCAGAATAAAGGTCTAGCACCATCTAGTGTCAGAGGCAGGTAAAATAAGATTTAAAAAAAACAACCAGTATAAGTGTATATGTATTTCTATGTGTGGAATAAACAAATACATAAATAAATAAAGTTGTTTTTACATTAATGATTTGACCGTCTATGTGTCTTGTAGTTATTGAATTGCTCTGTGCACTGTTAGAGTACAGTTTCATTATCATGCTCCTGTGTTTATTATATTTTTGTAACTCTGGCACAACAATTTCCTTCGGGATAAATAAAGTCCTATCTTATCTTCTCTTAAATAAACATTCTTATATTTCGATTGTCTGTTTTTTTTGTCATCCCTCACACCTGTTCCCCCTCTACTCACTTTGGCGGCGGCGGCTGCTGCTGCTGTGGCGTGCGTCCTCTGGATGAGGTGGAGGATGTCGGTGTGCTGGACGGGTTGCCGTGTTGACTGCTTTGGTGGCTTGGTTGTGACACGTGGCTCCCGTGTGGATGGCTCCCGTGGGAGTGTGAGGACTGGGGGGTGGTGCTGGTGTACTGCGGCGTGCCCAGAGCCTGCTGGCTGGGGGTGGTGTACGAGTAGCTGGGCGTCATCAGGGGCGTCGCTATGGGCTGCTGAGGGGTAGCAAACACCTGCAGAGGAGAGAGAGCGGGAATCAGAATCAGAAACTGGTTTATTACCAGGTAGGTTGACACGTACGAGGAATTTGACTTGGAGTCGTGGTGCATACATATATATTTTTTAAAAACACAGATAGCGAACTATTTTAAGAACACCATAATAATTTACAAAAAAACAAGACAAAATATAGTAAAATATAAAATAGTATAAAGCAGTAATTCACAGTGAAATAGAATGCAATCAAATATAAAATATGTGCAGTGTGTGGGTTACAAATGCATTTTATTTATTTCAAGATTTCTTTTAGAAATCAGTATTAGGAAAACATGTCATGTAAATTCAGTTGAAGTTTCAAATGCTTTCTCAAACATTATATTGGTATTTAACTTGCTCATATTGATTTGAATCAGGTAATTAGATGTAATACAAAATACAAAAATAAAGATAAAAAGAAGAAAATGTTAATAATTTAGTTTTGGGGAGAAGGGTTGGGATTAAATAAGTGTAAACTCCTTCCCACCCCTTTTCGGATTATGTAATTAGGTAGATCATTTGATTATATAGAATTTGTAAGTCAATTATATTTTTGCTTATCCATTTGACACTGCTTAAGTTTGTACAGTATCATAATTCTCTTGTTTCAGTTCATTATTATTATTATTTGTATTATTGTTTTACACGTTCTAAATAAATCAAATCAAAATAAAGAAAATGGTATTTAACAGATGGTTTGGTGTTTTCTGAAATGTATTTGTACTAATCCTCCCTTAACCATAACAGCAAGTCCTTATGTATCCACATTTTGTATCATGTAGGCACCTAGCGTTTATAAAGAATTGAACAAGAGAAGAACTTTGTATTATCGTGTGACCCTGGATACCATTACAATCCCTGAAACAGCTTGTTTGCTTCCACAGTAGTTGAATATTAGCAGCTGCACTCACATGGTACGCAGAGGAGCTCCCCCCTCCTCCCCCTGTGCTGCCACCGTATCCGTACTGGCTGGAGCCCCACTGAGCGGGGGTGGTGTTGGGGTTCTGGTTCTGGCCTGTAACCGCGGCGATGGCATTGAACATCTGAGAGGTCATGTTGCGTGGGAGGGAGTTGACAGCTCGCGTCAAGTCTAGGGAGAAGGGAATCAATTAGGAGATGGTAAAATGTCCTACAACTCCACTCATGCTGAATATCTGTGTGTGTGTGGAGAAGAGCGGGACTCACCTGCGATGTTGATATTTGCTGGGGTGGCGTTCAGGGACGCAGGAGTCCTTGTTCTGCTGCTGTTGCTGGGAGTGACGCCTTTGATGGAGAAGAAAACGTTAGATAGGAACCAACTACATCCTTTATTTGTGGTACAATACACATTAGGAGGAGTGCTTCCATACCTGGCACAGGCTCTTGGTAATGGTCCTTAAACCAGCGGAATAACCCGTTCACTGTGGGGAAAACCTGCGAGCGGTACCGGAAGCCATCCGGGGTGATGGTCACATACTCAACCCTGGACAGGAGGAACAGATAGCATGTTGACCTTTAGTTCTCCTAGTATGGAAACCTTGTTGTTAATCAAAGTAGTATCTTTTAAAAACATGTCGCACGCCATACTCCCTTGCCTTGCTTTCAACAACATAACATTTCAAAACGGCATTAAAAAAATACACTGCTTGCTTCATCATCTTTTTCCAGAATTTTATATTTAGAGAACAAAATCAGATCATTAGTCTTCAAACACAATTATTTTTATACTTATCCAGACCTTGAAAAAAGTGCAAACTCTATGCCTTTTCATACTGTTTAGGAACCCTTTATTAAAGATTTAGATGTGCAAGTGGGAGCTTATGTAGTAGTTATGGACCTATCTGTTGAGATATTATTGATATGTATTATTGAGATATCATTTATAATTTCTTTGATGTTATTGTCGGGTTATGCTGCTTTGAGAAAAAGGAAGCGACATCCAAATACGTTATTTAAAAAAAATGGATAATGTTGAAATCAGTACAGCTTGTTGATTCAACATGCTCTTGTCATGGCTTCATACAGGGTATAATCAGAAAACCTAAATATAGTATAATCTGCTCACCTTGGTTTTCCTCGAGGCTGGTAGCCCAGGATGAATTTCCCCGGGAGCTCTTTACATACCGATAGAAAGTATGGAATAAAAGTAGGCTTCTCCCTCTTTGTCTTGACCAACAACTCCTCCATTTTCTATTGGAGAGAGAGAAAAAGAGAAAAGAAGATATAAGAGGTGCAACTGGTGGCAATAACACGCAAACTAAATTGAGTTGTTCATGTTATGAACAGTTTAAATGATATCAAAGTAAATCAGTATATAACATACATCCTTGCTCCCCAATTCCTGAAAGTACTTATGCCCCAGGAGATCTCGGGCAAATGACGCCATTGGTTGAATGAACCGAGCACTGATTTCATCCAGATCTTCAAACTCCTGTAGAGAATGCAATATACTTTAAAGAAACATGCAGCAACCACAACAACATATATGTCCCGCAGTGTATAAGGTTTAATTATGAAGCACAAGAGAAGGCTATAAAAATGACAGGAGAAAAGCTCTTACCTCAGAGTTGATCCAGAGAGTGTGTCCCAAGCTGAATGCGTTCTCTTTGCCTTCTTCCCTCACATCCACATGCTGGTAGATGCCATCAGCCACCTAAAACAAAAAACCATCACACAGAGTCAGCCCGGATCATGTTGTTTTCCCCGACACCTTTTCTGTTCCTCTCGATGTGTTTCCTACCTTCCAGGTGACAGTGAGGTGGTTCTCTCCCTTGCTGCTGGGTCTGATGATCAGGTCTCCTTGGTCCAGGGTCTCCATCATTTTCTCCGCTTGGTTGAAACTGATATTGTGGAAGTTTGGATGGGCGATCACGCGCTTTATATATGCTGCAGAGACAGAGGAAAAGCAAAATCGTATAAGGGGAGAGGTGTGGATGTAAATGTTTGTTTTATTAGCTGTTTTGATTCAAACAACTTTGACTACTTCTGTTATTATACTCACGTGTTCGCTGTTGTTTCTTTTTGAGGTCCTCTTCCTGTTTTTGGTCTTCAGTCTCTTTGTCAAAGTCATAGTAGCTGTCCTTGGGAAGCTTCCACTCATTGGCCTTGTCCATCAGATCCGAGGTGCGGCATGTGAGGTCCACGCTGAATTTCTCAATGTCGATTTTCATGATGCGGCAGTGAACCGTCATACCCACCTGAAGGAGGAGAAGGGAAGAGGAGCCATTCAGTTTTATATATGTGCGACGATAGATGGAAACAATACAGGAAGGACAGAAATAGCCAGGCACCAACTGATAACTATAGGCGCTTTCACACCGGAGTACTTTTCCCATTTAGTTCCGATAGTTCCTGGGATTTTGCGTTCACACCAAAAAGAGAACTTAGTTCGTGAGAACTTTTCCCCCCTTTTCAGTCCCTGCTAGAGAGCAGGTACTTTCCTGGGGAGAAAAAAGTTCCAATTTCTGATTGGCTGGGTGGATTGCAAACCACGCCCCGTAAAACTCGGAAAAGTTTTTTGAAGCCGCCATTGTATTTGCTGGCATTAGCATTATTAGCATTAGCATTAGCCCCGCGCACCAACGCAGAGAGACTAACTTATGGCAACACAAAAAAAACATGAGCGGTGGAGATGAGGAGGTGTCGGTGTTCTGGCGATTTACTCGGAAGGCTTCAGTAGAAGCTGCTGGGAGTCCCAGCAGCTTCTACTGAAGCCAGTCCCCAACTCCGGGGACTTCCGGCCGGGGACTTCGGGTGGCAGTATACGCTGTGAAGTTGTTTGCGGCCTGCCAGTAAACCCAAAGCAGAAGAAGAAGAAGAAGTGACGTCAGCGGCTTCATTTGCCTAATCCTCCCTCAGGGACTTATTCCGGTGTGAACGCGACCGGCTCTTAGTTCCATGGGGGTACTAAGTGCTGGGGTACTAAGTGCTGGGGTACTAAGTGCTGGGAACTAAGTACGGCAAAGTACTTGGTGTGAAAGCGGCTCATAAGCAATATATACATTTTCTTGGGGGGAATTTATTTAAAAGAATACGGAAATATAGTTTGAAGCATTAGCAAAGCACACCAAATAACAACAACCAACAACGCCTCACCTTGACCCTCTCCTCGGGGTGTTTGACCGTTTTGTCACTGAGGAACTTGGTGGGAATGAACCCCTGGACGCCGTTATCTAATCTGGACCGCACCCCGATGGCCTGACCTGGACACGAACCACTATCAAAGTGATTCCAAACCTGAAGCGGGGACATAACAAGATGATGTTTAGATGCCAGACTGTTTGTAACATTAACTGCTCAAAAGAAGAAACACTCCTGTGCCTGGTACCTCGCTGAGTTCGGGGAAGTTGTCCTGCTGGCAGAAAGGACACTGCCACAGCCCGGTGGAGTCGTTTCTGATGGCCTGGTCGTAGCTCTCTCCCTGAGGCCGCCGGTGAGCAATACCAGTTACTATACTGGTGATCAGCTTACCTGAAAGAAAAAGGAGGCAAAACATCAACCACAGGCCGACAGAGCTGCAATTCTACAGCCACTGGTATCATAGCAACATCACTCCTTTTATAAAAGTCCTGTGTTAGGCACTGAGTTCTTCGCCTGAGTGTTTATAGTTAGGAATATAATGTCTTTTTCATCTTTGGTGACATTTAATTCATGATATAAATGGGTTTCAGTGTGGTGTGTATTACCAATATAAAAGGTCTCTGGGGTGTCCTTGGTGAGCAGGTTGAAGACCTCCTCAGTGTTGGGGACCCTGTAGGCGACTCTCAGATCTTTGTACCTGCAGCTCAGCTCTGCACGGATATCATACAGAGTAATGCCCTTGTTGCCATAACCCTACAGGGGCAAAAACAAAGAAAAAAGAATGATGTCATATATTTGTGTAGGTGAAAGGCATACATAGTGATTACATGTATACAGCTGTTATTATTTATTTGTGTGAAGCTTTCATCTTGTTTCTTTTTTATTTATAACTTAATATTGACGGGGTAAAAGCCACACTGACCTGTCTCTCAAGCTCTTCAGCGAAGGCGTCCAGGTCCAGATCTTTGAGACGTTCTGGGTTTTCCAAGATCTCCTCCAGAGCTCCGGCTGGGTTGGCATCTTCTGCCGATTCATCGTACTCGAGCGCGTCCACGGCCATCTTACGAGCCCACTCGTACGTCTCAGGGTGAACACGAGACCCATCCAGGACCTCGATGTAGGAGTCCGTACTGTGGAAAGTTTGATAGAAGAAATGATTTAGAACAACCTCACAACGGGCTCATAGGTAGATCATTCACAGCCTTTTCCGATATCGGTATAATAATCAGTCTGAGCGTGTAAAAGACTCCTGAAAAAGAAGCCAACCTGTCTCCGAGCGACGCCGTGTCGATCTTGATGAAACCAGCACAGTTGATGAACACCTTGGGTCCCATGTGACTCATTGTGACCAGCTGGGTTCGGTTTTCCAGACGAGTGTTGTTCTGCTTCAGAATCTGCAAAAATACAAGGACCATGAAGATGATCAGGTTAGCGGAAAAGGCGCTGTACATTAATATATACGACACAATGAATGAGAGCATCACAAAGACGTACCTTCAGCAGCTGGGAGCCCTTCCTCGGCCCCAGACCACAGACAAACTGCACCAGGCTCTGGGTGTGAGGGTGGGCGATGCACTTGTTCACATCCACTCCGACCTCATTCACACGGTTAATGAATTCAAAGTAAAGAGCACAGAGCAAATCTTCCTTCACCACTTGTTCCTGAGAAAGAAAGACAGAAAAATACAGTTTCAGAAAGTGGCTTTGTAAGTATCTGTAGAATCAAACCGTATGTTTACAGCATCTGGTTTTAATAGATGTTGCTGATGTTCTAGAGCAGGGGTGTCAAACTCAAGGCCCGGGGGCCAAATCCGGCCCGCGACTTCATTTTATGTGGCCCGCAAGAGCTTGGAAAGAATATAATACGTTTATTATACGGTTACATGCTACTTTACAGTATATCTATATATATATGTTCATTTGAATTAATTTCTTATTTTATAGTTATTTCTTATTTTTATTTGTTTATCTTTGATTTATCCTTAATTTTATTAATCTGTGTGAATCTGTGCTGTCCTGTTTTTCAATCTTACCCTGTTGCTGTTAAACTACTGCATTTCCCCACGGGGATTAATAAAGATCCATCTTATCTTATCTTATCTTACAGAAGCATGTTGCCCATAAACTATATGTCCCACAATGCATCTCATTTTGTGACATGCGCACTGAAGAGACTTGCAATTATTTGCCCTAGACTTCTGCTTTCAGACGTAGTTAATTACGAAGTTATTACCCTATCCAATACAAATCCAATGCACAGGCAATAATATAATATAATACATTATTTCATATATATTATTATTTTATTTATATATGTATATTTATATAGTTACAACCGGCCCTTTGAGTGTAACCATAATGCTAATGTGGCCCACGATGAAATTGAGTTTGACACCCCTGTTCTAGAGTTTGGAGAATGGGCAGTAGTTGAGGAAGTACTCATATATTTGACTTTAGTGAAAACACTCAAACCACAGTGTAGAGATACTCTGTTTAAAGGAAGTCCTGCATTGTTATAGTAGTATAAGAGCGAGTATAATCATTAAAACACACAAAATGTTCTCATTGGCAATTTCAGAATAATATTATGTTATATTATTGTATTATAATTATTTATGCTTTAATGTGTTCATCACTTTATCTTGGTAAAAGTTCCAGGTAGCTTGCTCAGTAGTACATCTTTTGATCTTATATTTATTGATACAAATACAAACAAAATAAACTGTCATGACCTATTACCAAATGTCCAGAAAGCAAACAAAAGACGAACAAGGCAAACATCACAATTCCATTTTTCTTAAAATAGTAACACACACTGATATATTTAAACTAGACTGTTAAGAAGGAAATGGTGTGATTATGGCTGGAACACTTTTGGAAGAAACAATAACAACTAAATACAAAGCACAATATATAGATAGATATAATAGCACACATAATAACCACCATTTCATCGATGCCAGTCTCACCTGCAGTGGGTGGAGTTTGAGGCAGAGAATATCATCATCAGTGCTGCAAACCTGAGCGTACTCTATCAGGGGGTCCTGGATCTTCCTGGCTATTGACACAGCCTGTCGCAGCAAGGGGGGGTAATCCCTAAAGTCAACCTGCACAGAGAGAAAGCAGAGGACCAGGACGAGGTGAGCGGCAGAGGGAGCTTCGGGCCATGTCTTCAATCCACCAGTTAGTGTGAACTTGCTGTGGTTACTCGCCATAGTGAAGCGTGAAACCTCATGTTTCTGAGCCAGTGTGTAATAAAGACACTACAGTGAGGTGTTGAGTGTTTACCTCAGACTTCTTGCTGTTCATGTACAGCGTGGCCAACTCATTGTCAACGAGCTCCACTCCCACAGCGGGGACAGAGGACTCTTGTTCCAGCTCGCTGATGGCCCTCTTGATGTCCTCCATGATCATTTGAGCATCTCTGCGACACAAGGCAGGTTTTTAGTGTTACAACCGCAACTCAATTATAACTTGGAAATGTTGTTTACATGTAGCTTTTCAGCGCATTCAAAAAACCAAACTAATGTCACCTGTTTTCCCCAGCGACAGCCACGACATGAGGTTTCTTCCCAGATAGAAACTTTTTGAGAGTTTCGATGTCGTGGGCCTGAAGATAACACACACATGTGAGAGATCATCTCAAAGATGCATCCCTTAACAAAAGCAACTGTTGACTATTAACTGTTCTCAGCTGGTACCTTCTTCTCTCTCTCATCCTCCCTAAAGGCGTTCCTCCTCTTCATGAAGTAGGGCAGACGCAGGAAGTCGGCCACCTCCCCTTCCCCGTTGATCAGCGCACAGAACACTGGTGTGTCTCTGTTGGAGCAAAGTGGGTAAGTCAGAAACTGTTTTGTCAAATAAGTGTGTCTTAAATGCAGTAAACATTGCTTTGTTGTTCATTTAAAGTAAGTCATTGTATCCGTTTAGACTGTGTAAAGCCTGCACACTTACTCACTTTCACTAACTTATGACTGAGCCCCTTGAGTAAGTGCGCAGTACCCGAATATTCGTTCGTTGGAGTACTATTCGGGTTTCAATTTCGTTATTCGGATAGGCCTATTCGGCTGCCAAATTGAATTTATTGAAAACTCCAATATCAACGTAAGAGCTTGTGCCTCTTCGGGGGGTGCCAACACTTAACCATAAACGTTATCGTTTACTTTCTCCGTCTTTATATGTAGATAAGACTTTTTCTCCGTTAATCTCCGTCACGTTGTTTCCATAGCAACAACAACTTCCTGTCAACAGCGCTAACTCTCCTTCAAAAATAAAAGCATGTCCATACAAAATAGGAAGCCAAGCCAAATTACACTTAAGACATATACAACTGCAACGAAAGTAACAAACACAATGCGATATCCTTTTCAATTTCAAAGAACACAAATTGGGTTAGATACATTAACAAATAACTATAAAACCACAATACTGTAGAATAACAAAATGAATGCCGTGAATAAACCGAAATACACGCGTTGAAGCGGTTTGCTGCTAATTACTACACACCCCCCCCCGCGCGCGGGCCGAATATTTGCTGCTGATTACTACCGACTATCCGGAGCCCAGAGAGATAACCTTCACTTTCATACCAAAAAGGGTAGCAACTGACAAATATATACTGTGAATGCAGAAAATACTGTAGGGTAAATACCGGCTGGGCGCATATGCTACTCCCAGCACCCGAATGCCTTTGCCCTGACTCTCATCCATCAGATCATCGTCTTCCTCAACCTGCTGATCTGGTCGGTAAGGAGCCACTTTCAGCCAGTTGTACAACCGACGGCAGCAGGACTGTGAGGAGAAACACAGAGGGTTCATAAAAACACACTCATCAAACATACATTTTTAAACAATGTTGCTCTATAATTTCATATATATTTATACAATACTGATACAATGTGACAGATATAGTGAGGCATTACCCGGACAATGCTCTCCTTGGCCTCAGTGATCAGTTTGCTCTTGAGCTCCTTGGCCATCTGAGGGTAGAGGAACTGAGTGAGGGATCTCTCTATGGCAAGAGTTCGCTGCCTGTTCCACTCCTGCACCTGGTGACTGAACTCATCTCTGTAGTAGAACTGTTTGATCTCGTCAAAGTAAGTCTGCTCCCCGGCGAAGCTGAGGATAAGCAGAGGGAAGACGCAGTCAGAAGCAGCGCCTTAATATCGCTGGAGTCATAATTCCAAAGCCCCATGCTTGCTCTACTGACAAGGAGACAAACATAAGCTGCAGCTTAAAAATAAACAAAAACTCCAGGGACCTATCCTACTTATCAACTCTACTTTCATTCAACAGACAAGCTTTACAGGCGCTGGAAAAGCAGACGGTTCATCACATCAGATCCTGTGCTTTGTAAATATCCTAAGGCGACGGAATGTGAATGAAAAAGAGAACCGATAAGAGCTATAAGACCTAGGGATGTTTGGTTATTTATAATTTCTTCCATCTGGCTAAAAACTGACAACATTTGAGTGGGGATCCTCCTTAATCCTTGTAGCCTGTAATCATGTATTAACAAATATCTGAATTGAGTAGGCGAACCTTTGCAAAACATGCAGATATTTCTCAGTTTTGTCACTGTGCTTACCCTTTGACTCCTAAAAGGTCAATGCAGATATTAATGGTAAGCAGCCCCTCTTCCTCTGCCAGGCCCATCTTCAAGAACTGATCCCCATTCAGCTCTTTTACAGCCTTGTTCTTAAGATACTTGAAGGAGTAGGCAAAATGAGCCTCGTCTATCTCCTAGAGGAAGAAAGCAAAGGGCAAGGCAGGTTAAGAGTCAGAATCATTTCTGTTAGATGGTAACATCCGTGAGATTAAGTGTGTCCAAACCTTTTTCCCCTTCTTTGTGGGCTTGATGTTGATCTTGGCCCTCTCTTGAAAGGTCTGTCGGAGGACATGTCTGACCAGAGGTTCACGGGCGATCTGCATGGCCACCATGTACCTGGTTCCTTCCAGCACGGCCTCAGGAGAGCTGAACTGACTGCACACGTAGTCTTTGGCCAGCTCCACGGGCTCGGCCGGGAACTGCTCCGTCTCGTGACGCTGGTAACTGTCACGCAAATTCTCTCCAAACTGCTCTGGAGTTAACCCAAACTTTTTAGCCAAGCCATCTGCAGTAAGGAAGAAACAGAAAAATGAGTTACTTCAAATTATCAATATCGGGAATGCCGCTATACCAAGACACGTCTATTATACACAGTAGGGCTGTGCGATTATGGCAAAAATCATAATCACGATTATTTTTGGTCAATAATTGATATCACGATTATTAAAAACGATTATCCATTTACTTTGAAAACATCCATTTATTGAAAAATGTGAACAGTATGTTTTTAACAGTTGATTACCCTGAACTTTAAGTATAATTCAACTGAAAAAACAATTTAAAAATAATTTAAAAAAAACAATTACATTTTTTTAAATTTAAATAAAAATAATAATCGTTTTATTTCGATTACGTTGTTTTCGTAATCGTTGCAAGCCAAAATCGTAATCGAGATTAAAATACGATTAATTGCACAGCCCTAATACACAGTATATATGGTAGGTAAAAAAAGGAGACTAACCAAGTCCTACGCTCTGACAGATGCTGTACATATCTCTACGAGACGCCAGCTTGAGGTCAGGTCCTTTCTGTTCTTCTTCTTCTTCTTCTACCTCCAATTCCTCTTCTTCACCTGAGGAGGCGGACAATTATAATCAGTCATTAAGAACATTGGAACAACAGGGCAAACACACCATAGAACTGAACAATTTCAAATCATTTAGTAAATTCAGAGGCGTCCATCTTACCATCTTCGTTCACTTCTTTGATCTTCTTGAGCCTCTTCTTACTGGTCTTTACAGTGTTCTGCATCTTGGGGATGTCTCGGCCGTAGTAGAGCAGAAAGTGGTTGTAAACATCCCCCAGCTCTTCAAGAGTCTGCACATCTTTCAATCTATAGAAAGGATAAATTAGGTTTGATTGCGACAGAAAAGGCTCTTTATTGTTGATCACAGTATAAACTCCATCACTTGAATTTCCTGCTAATATTCATAGATTAGTGCAGTCACAAAGAAATAGAATGCATAAGAGATTATCTTTCTGAGCATCAACCATCAGGGCGTACCTCTCCAGGTCGGAGGTGTCCAAAGGACGGACGCCGTCAGCCAAAGGTTTGTCAGGGTCAGCTGAGATCTGCTCAAACTGGTAGGCCTGCATCTTCTGGAACAGACGGGTCAAGTTCTGCTTCCGGTTCTTCAGCTGAGTCCACTGGTGGAGGAAAATGTAGAAGTGAAGAAACCAGAAGTGCAGAGCATTGATAACAGGGTATATGCAGGAATCCTGAAGTCAAATGTAATACCTTTTAAGACCTTTTTTAAGACCCTTTCCATACATTTTAAGACCTCATCACCACTTCTAGTTTTAACCGGTTACATTGGCGACACAATTTACCTCACATTTACTATATACAGTATTGATTGTCCTTCCTCCTTATCTTCCAACCATTTGGACGCAAACTTGGAAAATGCCGTTTAATACTTTTGAATAGCCTTCATTTTCGCTAAATAGATTTTTATCAACTTTTCATACTTTTTAAGACCCCGCGGACACCCTGGATAAAGATTGGCTGAGCACACAGAATATCCACCCTTTCATCCTTACTCCCAACAATGTCTTTCCATAAGCAATGATTAAACTGTACCTTTTCATCCCACTGCCAAACCTTCCACAGGTCGTTTATGTTTAGTTCTGGCTCCACATATTCTTTCCTGTAGAAAGCTATGAATGGGACCTGGAAAAAAGAAAACAATTTGTATTTGGCATTCTTTCTCAAAATACTTATGTTATTGTTTTTTAGAGAAATGTTAAACCAAATGATGGCTCACTGTACCTCAAATTGTTGATTCCTCATGAAGTTGAGGGCCTCTTTGATCTTGGCAATTGTGCTGGGGCCCTTCCTGCTGAAGTTTGTAGTCGTCCCCCTGTCCAGATAATCTGTGCTCTCCTATTCAGGGCACAAAAAAACAGAACCTTTTTTAATGAGATGTAGAGGCAAGGAAAATATAATGGTGTATCGTGCTAAAGGGGAATCTAACACGGTATCATGAGTGGAAATCCAATCTTTTTCTATTCTGTGTGCATATTTTGTGAGTGTGGAGGCAAAGGGCATACCTGCATGGAGATAGTTAGAGTGGAGAATCCGTGTCTGAAGATCCACTCTGCTTCCTCTTCCAGCTCATCATCCTCAGCGGGTTTAACAGGGATGGATCGCAACTATAAGAAGGAGAAGAGAGTCAGGACAACAGGCACATGACAAACATCAGGAAAACACGGTATAAATAAGACCACAAGCCTTAATTATGAATAAACCTGAGAAAGCAGTCACTATGATCCATTATGGTCCAGATGAGATCGTTACAACAGAGCATCAACACTGTTAGCATCAACAACACTGTTAGCATCAACCACAGTGTTAGCATCAACCACAGTGTTAGCATCAACCACAGTGTTAGCATCAACAACAGTGTTAGCATCAACAACACTGTTAGCATCAACAACAGTGTTAGCATCAACAACAGTGTTAGCATCAACCACACTGTTAGCATCAACCACACTGTTAGCATCAACCACAGTGTTAGCATCAACAACAGTGTTAGCATCAACAACAGTGTTAGCATCAACAACAGTGTTAGCATCAACAACAGTGTTAGCATCAACAACAGTGTTAGCATCAACAACAGTGTTAGCATCAACAACACTGTTAGCATCAACAACACTGTTAGCATCAACAACACTGTTAGCATCAACAACAGTGTTAGCATCAACAACAGTGTTAGCATCAACAACAGTGTTAGCATCAACAACAGTGTTAGCATCAACAACACTGTTAGCATCACTGACGACAAACACACAAACCTGGAACCTCTCCGGCATGTCTGTGTTACGGATCTCGTTGTCTTGGTCGGTCATGTGACTACTTTCCAGCTCGCTGGGCTCGTAGATCTCAAAGATGCTCTTCCTGCCTTGCCTCCTCTTTGTCTGCTTCTTGGGTCGGTCCCAAGCTTCTTCATCCTGGTCCTCCTCCTCCTCCTCACCCTGGTCGTATGCGTCTGCGTCAAATTCAGCGAAGTCAAAGTCTCCGCCGAAGATTTCCTGGGCCTCCTGGAGGGCTCTGTGGCAGGAAGGGCAGCGCAGTGGGGTGATTATGTGTTTCACTTAAAGTAGACATTATGTGCTTATGGTATTGTTGTTACCAAAAATAATAATATTGTTTATGTGAAAAATGATAATGCAATTTAGACTCTACCAGATATAGAAATATAGCAATGGAGCGTATTGCCCCACAAATGATAAACCTTTTTAATGATAGATTTGTTGCATAATCTTTGACACTCACGCATCTGTGTATCCTGAGAACTTCTTGCCCCTCTTTTTGGTGATGGGTTGGCCGTCATCATCCACAATAAAATCGTCTATATCTGTAGAACACATTTAGAAAACAAATCAATTATACAGCACAATATTTAGAGACCAAGTGTGCGACTCAGTTGACGTAACTATTATTTCTCTGCTCTTTAGTTATTTAAAGACCGATCTAAAATTCCTGGCCTACCTGACTCCTCGTCTTCTCCTTCTTCCTCGTCATCTGCTTGGTGGAGGGGCTCATCGACGGCCTCCCCTTCCTCCAGATCGCCCTCGGCATCTCCATGAAAGATCTCATCCGCGATCAAGTCCTTCTCGTCGTCATCGTCTTCATCATCATCGAGTGTTTTTACACGGTCGTATTTCTTCTTCTGTTAAACCAGACAGGTAGAGCATCAGCACTGCTAGCTTTAACTTTACACTATTACTGTGGAGAAAAAAGTGATGAGATTCTTACCCTTCTTTTCACTTTAACACCCAAGTTTTCCTCAATCAGGTCCAAATCATCGTCATCCAGGTAGTCGTCTTCACGATCTGCAAATATAAATCATTGGGTTTATATATATATATATATATATATACATATCCTTTACGCTGCAACCATGAAGCCACAAGTGACAGCTTATCTCCATTTTTACATGGCTCGTTTTTATAATACAAGTATAATCTTTCTTTAAACTTTACTGTCGGTCACCGAGCCTTCGCAGCAGCTGGCCCCAGGCTCTGGAACACTCTGCCCCTCCATGTGAGGTCGGCCCAGACCCTAGGGGCTTTTAAATCGCCACTAAAGACTCACTTCTTCTCCCTGGCCTTCTAGTCAGAGCGGAGCACGACTCCTGATATTTCCCTGTGTTTGATTTTTGCTGTTGTAATTTATTGTCTTCTGTTTGCTATCGCAGTAAAGTGTTTTTATTGCATGTACAGCACTTTGGCTAGAACAAAAATCGTTTTTAAAATGTGCTATATAAATAAAACTTGATTTGATTTACTGTTCAGCAAAGTCCAGTAAAAAGGTAATATCCAGAACTTGTTAATAACACTAACTATATGTAATTGCAGTATTACAGAATGGCCATAAATCTGGTATTTACACCGTAATCAATGACTTCTCTATTATATTGGGATATCACTGCTGACATTCCTGTCGAGATACTGATATGAGGTAATTGGTAACATTTCTGCCAGACAAAAACAATAAATTACAATAATGACCCGATCCAAAAATCAATTCAGAACTGGGTTTGTGTCTCCAAAATGATTGGCATTTCACAGTTGGAGAAATCAAATGATAAAGGCTCTCTGGTAAACAGACAATGTTATGTTGACACCTTGAGTAAAAGACCTCAGTGAATATGCATCACACATGGTCATATTTTTTATTTACATTTTTTAGGATTTCCTCACTGTGTGACCCATCAAAACTGGACAGAGAAAGGCAGAAGAGCTATGAAGGGTGGTATAGGAATGGGCAGAATGTCAATATGCATAGAATAATGGGAAGAGATCCAATACAGCTTGTCCCTTGGTGACTTCCTGAAACTAACCACAACATGCAACAACACACTGTATCATGGCTGGATCTCTTTCAAATATTGAATGCACTTACTGCGCTTTTTCCGTCGATGCCTCCCTACTACTTCTTCTTCTGAGTCACTCCCCGCTGCACTTGCAGGTGCTGGTGCCACCGGCTCCTCCTCCTCTTCTGCATCATCAATGAGTCCGCGTAAATTTCCTCGTTCATCCTGGTCCTCTGTGTTCTCTTCTTCTTCCTCGTCTGTTAAGTAATCAGACATAAGTGGTCAACAAATCATTCAACCCCCCTCAAACACATGCCAAGAACTATGCAATTTCATTCTTACCATCTTCCTCCACAAACCGCTGGGTCTTTTTAGGTTTTAAGTCTTTCTCTTCTAACTCCTCCTCCTCCTCCTCTGACTCCTCAGCCTCGCTGACAATAAAGTCGGACATGACGGCTGTTCCTGGAAGCAGTACAAGAAAGGCTGTTAGAAAATGTTCTCAGCTTCATCCAAGGATTTGTTCTTCGAGACTAGACAGACACAAATACAAAAGCCACACCAACACAACTCAAACATCACGCCTTCATGCGTTATGCTGCAATTGTGAATTCAACCCATATCATTTCATTTCTGCTACAAGATTGAACAAAAATCGTATTTCACACTGTCTGACAGTATTGCATTTACATTGTTCAACAGGTTCTTCCAGCTCTTCATTACACAATTACATAAAAAATATAATAAACGCAAGATATAAAAGCTGCAATATTACACCAAATGATAAAATGCCCTAATTGTTTCGATGTGACCAAATTCATCCTTACACCTTTTTGTATTTTTAGTATCTCCTTCAGAATTTGAAATGAAGGGCATGGTAGTTTATATGTACTGAAGAGATCAACAATACGCGTCTGTTCCATGTATAATCTGTGTTTTGTGTCACATAAACTTTATATTGTTTTCTGAATATGCGATTTATTTATGTAAACATCTATACAAAAAAGCCCGGGATTATTGGGTTTTGCAAACATGTTTGAGGTGTTATTGACAAACAACGTTAAACCAATTTACAGTCAATTAACACTCTATTTTCGTATTTCTAATTGACCTGATTATGGTTTTAAACTCATTGTCATAATGTTAGTCAGTAACAAGAAAACTACATTAAGTTGGCGACCTTAAGAAACCCTAGACCTAACAATGTCGCATTGCGCACACACTGAACTCCCACGGAGACCACTAACCAGGCACATGAGCCCCTTTCTTTCAATCTGATTGTAGCTAATGCAACCGAATCTTAGCCATCTGATGAGCGGTCGGTCGTCAAACATTCATCTGGTATTGGAAATGATGTTTAATGTCGTTAGCTAACGGTATTATCCCTATGAGCTAGCACCCACCAACTAGGCTAACACAGATGCTAACGATGCATGTTAGCTTGCGTGCAACCTTTTACCAAGTACTGTTAGCTAGCACAAGTTGAAACCATAGTGTATGTATCAAAATATAAACTGACAGTAAAACAGCAACCGAGACGATTTCCGCGCTGTAGGAATTAACCAAGGCCCATCTCAGCCAACTTCGCAGTCTAACGTTAGTTTATGCTTTAGCACATCAGTACGTTAGCCTAGCATTAGCCGGAACGACAACAACAGCCAACTGCATCCCCGTTAGCTAGTTAACCACTGTTAGCTAGGCAGCACAATGTAAAGATCAACATTACCACGGAGAAACTGGACTTACACGTCTCACTGCGGTGGTGTACTCCGATAATATTTACAGTTATAACGGGAGTGTGTTATGTTTTGTGTGTCGGGGAGCTTGTACTTGTAAAAAATGGCCGACAACGAGCGGCGTGAAAGGCAATTCCGGTATGCAGTGAGGGGACTTCCATCCTGTTCGCTGAAAACGAGACGCCCCCTGCTGGGTCGCTTTGATTCTACACAAGGCTAAATAACTTATAAAGACTACACATCAAATTGTACTTGTATTGTATAAACCAGCCATGTAAAAAAATGATGTAAACTGTGCGTTATTATTTATGTATTCATTTTATTATTATTAGTTTATAAATATTGTTTTATTTACTTATTCATTTTATTTTATTTTATTTTATTTATTCATTTTGTCTTATGTCTTCCTTTATTTTACCAAGAGGGATCATTTTTTATTTTATTGTTGTTATAAAACCTATTTTACCTCCTTGTGTCCCTTGAATTGTTATATTATGCGTTTATACTGTATGCAAAAAAGATAGGACCTGAAGGGGAATTTCTTATTTGTAGTTTTAATTTGTTTTAAATTCAGAATCAGAAGCGGTTTTATTACCCAGTCGGTTAACACATGGAAGGAATTTGCTTTGCTGTAAATTATGCATACAAAGACACAGGAAGAACAGTAAGGTTTTTTACAAGAAAGAACCAACAAATAATACTATTGTAAAAACTATTTAAAAAACTATATTAAAGACTATTGTAACACATTAGAAATAAATACAATATTAACACAACAAATACATAATGGACACTAACTACAATAAAATAAAATACTATATAAAAAGTGGTTGTCAAAGCACCTTGAGCTGCACCTGGTGTATGAAAAGTGTTATACAAATTTATATTTATTTATATCATCATCATCATCATCATCATCATCATCATCATCATCATCATCATCATCATCATCATCATCATCATCATCATCATCATCATCATCATCATCAATATATTGCTCATTAATACCAATTAAACAAAAAATAAGTACAAAAATCATAGTAAGGTATTAGCAGTGACTCCTCCCAGCCGCTAGGGGCGCTGTCCTCGAGCCTCTTCCTGCCATACTGCCTCTTCACTGACGTAGCGTAAAATAATACAAATCTCCCTCAGAGGCATCAGCGGCATTTTGCTCGGGATCTTTTTTTGTTGGAATGGGTATTTTAGATTGTGCTGTTTCTCGACACACTTTACCAACCTTTTTATTATATCTATGCTGTATATTTGGACCGTCCCTCGGCACTGAGCTGAGTTTTTTAACATGCGGATCTGTCATTAAACTGTTAAATGTAAAGCACAATGTGAGACTTCACTCGCACGACGTACGCTACGGCTCCGGTGAGTTTTTTACTGGGATTGTTAAGCATTAATAAACATTGTGTTTCTCTACTTTGACATAATCTACTATTGCCCTGCTATGTAATCAAAGCGAATGTTTAAAGAAAATTGGAAATTACTGATGTGTACAAAGGTTAACTCTCAATGTGTCATAGCTTATTCATGTTGACCCCATTATGTATTATTCACAGTCACACAGTGTTTATATAAAGGATGTGTAACCTAAAACCTCTTTAATGCATAGTTAACACATTTATTTACCTAAAATTCACAAAGATACATCAAGGGAGATAAAGACCCCATTTTTACCTGTTATTATCATGTCATCTTTTTCGTATCTGCTAATCTTACATGGATAATGATGTAAACATTATTTTATTTGTTTACCATTTGTCATTATATTGTTTTGTTGAAAGGAAATGAGAAAATACCTATTTCTTCATACAAAGGTTAACAGCATTCATTTGATATATCATTTATGTTAACTCTATTACGTGTCAATTCCAACTGTGGCACATACTATATAAAAGATTGGATACATAAAAGCACTATTAAATGATTACCTATTAACTGGTGACTAAAAACAGTATATGAACAAGATCAGCGTTTGGATTTCCTTTATGAAAACCACACCCTTTTCTTTAAAGCCTAGTAACAAATTAGCCCAAGTATACACAGAAATGTATATTACAAATCTAAGGTGGTTGTCAAACGTCAATCTTATTTCTTCAAATAAATAGTTGTTATTCTAGGCTAAAGCCCTCAAAGTGAACCACTTGATCTGCTGCCAACCTGCTGCCAACATGAGTCCTTGGTTTCAAAGTCAGACCTAAAGCAACAATCATCATTTCAACTTGGTGGGGGTTAAACTAACCTTCACACCGCAAATAAAATTAGTAGTTGTATTTTTCGACAGTCTTGATTTTCCTTAATAAATCACATTTGCTGTTTCTTTCAACATCCCTGGTTCTGTATCTGGTTGGAGTATCTCTGCTCACCGTGTGCTCTTCTGTGTGTGTGAGACAGGTAGCGGGCAGCAGTCTGTAACAGGGGTGATGACGATAGAGGACAGTAACAGCTACTGGAGTGTCCGTGGGACATTGGACACCTTGTGCCATCGGGGCACCCCGGTCAAGTGTGGGCAAGATATCCGTCTCACCCATGTCAACACAGGCCGTAACCTGCACAGCCACTACTTCGCCTCCCCGCTGTCCTCCAACCAGGTGGGTGGGGTGAAAAGTATATGGGGAAAGGGTCGAGGGTTAGTTTTATATGAAGCATCATGACATAGCAACCTGCAGAGATTGGCGCATTTATGTCAATGTCCAAAATGTAGTAGAGCCTTATTCAAGATTTTTGTGTAAATGTTAATATAATACTAAAACATTTAGAATGTATTAGTATCATGCAAAGTTAAAGCCACTCACTGCAGCTCATTGCATTACTAACACAAAGTCTGTTGCAAAATGGTCACATTTAGGGAACCCTAGAAAAAATGTTGAGGTTAATTTGAGCTGACAGCAGCTTTTACACTTCAGGAAACGCACCAAACTCTGTGGGAAAACAGCCGCGAGCCTGAAAAAACCTCTCCAAAATTAAGGAAGTGTAAAAACACTGTCAAGCCAAAGTGTTACAGGCTTGGAAGATGTGTACCGTGCCATTTGAGAAATGTTTGTTATTGTTAGACATTTTTATACTGCACAGACCTGTATATTTTCAGTTTTTTAAAAGGAAGATTTAGATTGTTATGAACAGTATCAAAATGTCTAACAATAACACACAATACTAAAATGGCATGGCATACTTAGTTCATACATAGACTCTAAGTCAAACATTGTTCATACTGTACACAATTGAAGTCAGCTGATGGTTTCAGTTCAGCAGCAGGAGACAATTAAAGCAAGGTAAAAGATTATAAACACATTTATTATCTATGGCTGTATTAAAATACACTCAAAAAGTGTGTAGGTGGAGAAAAAGTCTGTGAACATAACTGTACAAGGTGTACACATTAAGAAAATGTTGGCTTTAGGCGAGGGAGACACAATTAGAACAGAACATTATTTAAGAAGCGCTGGATTATTAACATGACATCGATATATATTTATCCTACACCACTTATGTCTGGAAAGTGGAGAGATAGTAAAACGGACCCAAAAAGCTATCACAAAACAAGGTACATTACCTTCTCTTATTTTCCTTTTCAAATAATGTTTCTCTCACCCGTCCACAGGAGGTGAGTGCGTTTGGGGACGACGGGGAGGGGGGACCACCTGGACGAGTGGACGGTTCAGTGTGGGGGATCTGTGTGGAAGCGAGAGGAGGCCGTCCGCTTCCGTCACAAACCCACCGATGCATTTCTGTCAGTGACGGGGGAGCAGTACGGGCGGCCGATCAACGGTCAGAGGGAAGTTCACGCCATGGCAGACCCCAGCCAGCACAGCCTGTGGAAGGCCATGGAGGGCGTCTTCATGAAGCCCAGCGAGATCCCCACGGGCAGCCGGGACTACAGCCACCTCCACACAGAGTTCTGAGCTTCACTTTTCTTATTTCTCCCTTCCTATCGTCCCATCTGTTTACCATCGTTCTCCTACCTCTGTCCCGAATAAAAAAGTACCAGCAACTTATCTAATTTATCCCTCCCATCAACTTTGACTTTCATATTTCCAGGCGATTTTCCCAAAGTCTTTACATGGAACAGGTTACAATGACTTCAAATGATCAATCCATCCTCTCTCTTACATGTTTTAGGAAACACTACTTGAATCCTCCAAGATCCATCAGCTACACTCAAAACTTTAATAGAATGATAGTTTGCCTTAACAGGGGCAAGAAGACATAAAAGTATGAAAACTGTACAAAGACTAATCTTTGTGAGGCTTTACGTCCTCTTAGCTGTTATTTATTGTTAGAAACTTGCCATCAGAAGACACAACGCAACTCAGAAGGCAGGAGGGTTTTGCAGTTAAGTAGAATAAAGTCATCAAGTGAGTGTTGTGTTTTGTAAGACTTTGTTACATTGTTACACTTGTGCCTTTATCCTTTTTATAGCTTTTGGAAACAAGCATTTTTTTGTGTTTTTTAAGGTATTTGTTAGTCATATCCCACTCAAACAATTTATAAGCAGTGTTACCAGGATAAATAATTTCCCCCCCTGTAAATCAGATTCAGTGTTGCGTATGAAGGATCCAACACCAACTTACATGAGAGTGTACGCAGATTAATCTGTTAAGGTAGTTTTTTTAAATATGATTTTGATCAGTTTGCTGTGTGCTGGGAGAAGTACCATGTCATGCTGTCTCTGCAGTGGATGTGTTAGATCAACTGAATGTGTTAGATCAACAGTCATGCAATGAATACCTAATATTAAATGATTTGTATGCATTTAAGTATTCGTGTGACATCTTTATTGAATTGTCGTCTTCTTTTTCATTTAGTGACCATCACAGTGACTTTTCACAGGTGCCCCTTTCTGCAGGATAACTTGAAACTAATCACTGATGTCATCAATGACTCTCCTGATAACTGCATTCCTGATGTAATTATATAATAATTAGATAAAAGCAGTATAGACAGATAATGTACTGTACAAAGTCAAACCCCTAAATGAATCCACAAATATGAAACCAGATTTATGTTTTTTCAAATAAGACAAGATGTTTATGCCTGCCTGGGCTTTTGCACTTAGAGTAATGTATTGTTGGTCCACTTAATGGCATGTTATGGTTCATTATCTGGTGGTTAATGGGGTTTGAGAGCATCTATTATGAGGCTGTTCTCTATTGTGTTTGACCTATGCTACCTAATTATCATGATTTACAGTGAGTGCAGATGCCAGCACCGCTCCACAGGACGCTCCTCTCTGTCACATGTTGACAAAGGTGTTATTTCACCTCTCTCCTCACGTACTGCCTCCGGCTAAACCGAGTTTTAAAATGCACATCTCAATGGAGGAAGGGTCACCTTTGTGTGCATGGCATGTCACATCCGCCAAGGTTAGTTCACTCAAAGCACTTGTGTTTGTAGCGCTACATGACCCGCATGTGTGATGTGTGAAGGGGATGTCAGAGCAGTGAGCTTTCTGCACTTGTAAAGGTTGCTCTTCTGACTCGTGGCTCTTTTATGCACGCTCTGCTACCTGCAGTAAAGGGCGCTCTGGATGAACCATGCTGTGTTCTATTTTTACGATTAGTATTTGAAATGACACAGAGGATGATAACAAATGACAAGTAAAGCAACAAGCCTGCTTTGTAGTCAGTGTCACAGTCAGAGAAAATGATCCTGCTCACCAGTTCATTAAGTAACTAAATATATGATTTTATGTGTATGTTGTTGGTCTTGAAGTAAACACAGATGACTTATATTTCTATCAAAACAAGGTTTTATTGCATAAACATATATGGATATATATTTTTTTTAGATTAGACATATTAAACTTGTTATTTGCATTTTTAAATATCCACTCAGTTGGCGACTATTGCTGTTTCCTTTCTCCTTTTCTAAGCAGCATGCCAAGGTTTACATATCTGTGTTTAGTTTTATCTCTATACAATCTACAAGGTAAAAACATGTGTTGGTAAAAACAAATCTTAAAAGCAACTCTGAAAAACATGAACATCATGATTTGATTCCCAGATGTACAGTATAATAATGTAAACTTTAAAAGTGTTGATAAAAGGTTTGTGTTGAGTGCCCATTACCAAACCATGAAAGGATGTCTGAATGGACGTGGACTTTGTTAAGATAGAGTGGTCTATGCTGGTTTCAAAAGGACCGTGATGCTAATAGCCAACAGTGAGAACATGGTCCATTGGTCAGATTTCAATGTGCCGAGAATATCAAAGACTGACTCACAAGGATAAGTGTAGCATACATTATACAGCAGTTTTCACAGGACTATGAGGCAGTGAGAACATTTAATAAAAATCTAAAACACACATTATATTTTATTCAATGTCAATTTTAACCATCCACAGTGAGGCCTACAGGCTCTATACCCTATACGACGTGAAACAGATGATGAAGATGTGACCTTGTTTTTGCATATTTATGAAAATGCCCTCTCCTGCACTCTGATTTGATTGATAGCTGGTAGAAACTAGAAAAAATGGCTATAACAGTATAAACTGGACAGTCAAATATGTGAAAGTAGGACATACATACCTACATTTAAACCAAGGCTATGCCACCACAAAGAAAGATTAAACTGATTCCACAGTCTTTCAAAAAGACATGAAAATCTAAACAACAACATGCATACTGATTTACAGTATAATACACTTTTGCTGTGATACTTGATCTTACAAAGCAATTTTTTTTTTAAGAGAAAGCCCTCTTCCCTTTATTTCCTGGACAGCAAACTCACATGGCTGCACGTAAGGTGATGGAAATATCTGGTATTGTTTTCAGCACACAACAAAACATATAATTGCCTCAAGATCCAAGGGGAGCACCGAGCAATTCAGGAATCCACAAACAGGATGTCGCCGTTATGGCACATTATGTTGCAACAAATGATCACCAACAAATGTACGACAAAGATCATCACTATAGGGCTGGGCAATTTGGTTTAAATAATTCACACATAATAAGTCACAATATAAATGAAAATATGTTATCTGTTAATACCAAAAATGTATGGAATTTTGAAATAATAGACATTAGGTTTACTGTTTTGACGCGGATAATGACTTTAAAGGTCCCCTATTATACTGTTTTTCATCAATATATTATAGGTCTCAGATATATACAAACATGTCTCTGGAGTGTTTGGCTCGAAACACCAAACAGATCATGCATTGCAGCATCCCATAATCCCCTCTGTTTCAGCTCTGTTTCAAAAGTGCTGATTCTCTGTCTGTTACTTTAGATGAAAATAAGGAGCCACTCCCCACGCCCCTCTGAGAGATATTTGGTTGAAAAGAACACAATGGTGCTCTAGGAGGAGATTCAGGTGATAAGGTGGGCGGGTGTCACCTTGGTTGGTTATTGGCTAATGGTTACACAAGCCAACAAATCGTTATGACATCATAAAGTGGCCAAAATCTGATCAGCTCATTTTCAGACAGGTTTTTATATAAATGGATCAGGAGAAAAAGTGAGCGAATCTTTTTTCCTGAAACTTTCAGAATCTCTTTACACAGAGGGGACACATGTTGATGTAGAAGAGACATGAAAAAGTGGATTTTGCATAATAGGTGACCTTTAAAATAACTTAATCTCAGTCGTAGTCTTGTTTTGAAATGACTATTTGATCTAAATCTTCTGCTTGGACAACAGAATAATGGACATCATTACTGGTATGATACTATTCTAACAGTTGATTAACAATGACATTTCTGTAACGCAGAGCTCTACACCGAAAGAAAAAAGAAAATCCTCAAACGTAATCTGTGGAGTCACTGGGATTTTCATCCTCGGGGGGCTCCATTATAAAGACGAGCATGACTGTCTGTTCTTGTCAAACCCCCTGACTCCAGTAAGCTCTTTAAAATGGTAGTGCTATCAGGTCGATGGTCTGAACCATAAACCATAGCTATGACTCCAGAAACTAACCAAGGTCCTGCATCAGCCAGTGTGCTGGTGCGACAACACAATTTGGGTTCTTGGGGAAACACTTGGTTTTGCATTTAAGAAACAGTGAACCAAATCAGACCAAAATGTGACATCGACACAACAAATATCTAAGCTCAAATTCAGTGGCGTTGTTCTTCACTTCTGAACACCTTGTAAACATGGTAGTTCAAGTGTTTAGCTGCAGTTCTCATTTAAACCACTAGAATGCAACCTTTTCCAAAAAGAAACTGCTGCTGTACTTCCAGCGTGTCACAGCTCAACTGTATATCCCTGATTTATCTCACTAGTTTCCACCCTTCATACATTCTGCTGTTGTGAACAAACACTACATTACACAAGATAATTACTACTATATATACAGAGAGATTCATGGGAGCTAGACAAATGTTTGATATGGCAGTGTACATACTGGCATGCTTTTTGTGCAGTTTATAATTACCACAGTTGGGTCTTATTACAAGGAGATGTTGAGGTGAAGGATTTTTTTACCAACGCATAACTGAAAACATGGGAATTTATATCTGTTCCTACTAATTATCACAAACCTTCATATATTTTCCTCTCAGACGGCCTGAGCTTATTATGTACTGTCTAGTGAAGGTAGAGGTTAACCGCTTCAAACCCCCTTGAGAAATACATTTTTGGACTGTCTCTCAGAGTAGGAAGTTAATTTATCAGGAGAGACTTCAGATATTTGGTCCATCTGAAGCACAGAATTAAGGCAAAAAGAGACCTTTTGACACCTACTCTGCTTTTTGCTTTAAATCCATGTGCTCTAGTATAGACCAAATATATTTTGTGATACATTAGTTACTATCTTTGACACACCTACAGACAAAGAGATGATTCCCAAGTTTCCCCTCACTGAGTATTGAGTTGTGCTCCTTACACAAAGACTTCATATGCCCCGACATTTAGTGGACTGAGTTGGTCGATGATGTTTAAACATGACTATTTGAGATGTGATGGATTTACAATACATTTAAATACAGTGCCTGACATTCAGTGCTCTCATTCACTCACATTCAGCTACTTCTCTAAGGTAAATATGCAGTTGTTCATAATAACCACTGTTATTTTTAAATTAGGAATGGCTCAAAGCACCTGATAAACTTTTTCTGGTAATTAGAAAATCAAGTTTAAAGAGTGGTCTCTGTCAAAATAACACCCTCTATTTATTCTCACGTTTTTTTTTATAAAAACATAATTGTTTCAGTTCTTTGTGACCAGTAAGTCCAGTAACTATACATGGTGACATCTTCAATGCAAAACAAATTTATATTTCTCGTCACCTCACTCACATTTACTACTTCTAAGTTCAAATTAACCTAAAAAAACCTCAACTGATTGTTTAGAGAAGTGCTCGGGTTGTAGCTGGTCCTGCTTTGGCTGCAAAGACGAGATGTGAGGTCGTGGCTGTTCTGTCCACTTGCCATGCTCACAGTGCAATTGGTTACTCCATGCCGTTCCGCAGCATCTGATTGGCTGCGATGAGCATGACACTGATAATGAAAGCCATGGCGAAGGCGCAGATCAGGCTCTTCCTGACACACGTCTGCCGATTCTTCTTCTTGGGATGGACTGTGAAGAAGACAAAAGAAATGAGGGACAGGTTTAGAGTTTTGGATTGTGAAGCTCAAGTGTTGGCCTCTCGTTTGATGATGATTGGTTAACTTATCAACAGGTTTATTGACTTCAAAATAATTATACAAAATAAATATATAATGCGTGATTGGTTGACATTTTTGGCAATGCACTTCAAGATTGATACCACTCTCTCTCACACTTTATATGTGACCAACATTATCAAGTGATTTGATTTGAGGCACAAACTCAATCTAATACTCCCTATGATGCAGCAAAAACAAAGACAAGAGGAGTAACATCAAACTTTAAGGTTGTTCTGTGGGCTGAAAGACAGTTTTCCCCTAAAGACATAATCTCAGGAGATGGAAAAAAGAGCAGAGTCCGATGTGTCCTCCAACAGGCCTTGCAGCAAAGGCAACAACCAAAAGTCTCCTCTCTTAGCTCCCTTGTCTTAGTTCGTTAGAATCACACACTGCATCAATAAATCAATTCAGAGCTCTGAGTCGAGGATCTAAGAGGGACTGTGCAAGGCGTTGAAGTCCCGACGGACAGGAAGAAGATGGGAAGGACGCATGAAAGAGGGAAGTTGAGGATATGGGAAGATGGTTCATTGAAAGTAAAACAGCTGTTCTCTTCAGGAGAGGCTCTTTTTACCTCTTTATCTCTTTTAATTCTTCAAACGTTTCCTCTTCCTAACTCCTTCCCTAAACACCCAAAGACTTTTTGAAAGAGGCTGCCAAACCAGCACTTCCCTGATCCCTTTTTTAGCCTCTTATCTCCTCCTTCACTGTCCCTACTCCCTCTGCTAAGTTTCTCCATGTCCTCCCAGCTGTCTCCTTTTAGGCCTCCCCCAGACTGTAGGCCAGTACCCAATAGATTCATTAAGACTTTCACAGTTTTACAGCGTGTTTGATCTGTCTTTACCTTTGTGCTAGTCTGACTTGTGGATGGTTCACAGAAGTAAGGCAAATTTATAGTTCTGCACCATAACTAAGAAGAGGTCAGACTTCCTTTTTGTCTTCCTTCTCATCTCCCTAAAGCAACATAACTTGGTCTGAAAGTATTTCTCAACTAAAATGCCTTCTGTGTTGGGCACTCAGATTTAAAAAACCCGTCCTCTTCTTGGCTTTGAAAAATAAAGAAATGAATGCATGACCTCGAGATGAATAGATGTCATCATTTAAATATCACATCTGTTTTCCTGAATATACGTCAGCATTCATGACCTTGCCCTCAGGATCTCCTCGGTACAAATAAAACATCTGTGGTGGGTAATGATTTTGGTAGAGCAGAAATGAGGAATTTTCCCTTGAATCTTTCGGTGTAAGGCCAAGAAAGTCATTTAAAAGCATGTTTGTTAATCAATAAGTATTGAGTGATATATCTTGGATTCCCATGGATGTCAATTGTAGTGAGTCATACGTTTTAGCCTTTGAACAGTTGCTTTGAGTAAACATAATGTTTTTCCACAAAATGAAAATAATTCACTCAAGATCTGTCACTTTTTATTGATGTAGCTAGGTAGCAACTAGCTAGCTATATGAAAAAAATACTCGAAGCTTATTGGTTTATTATCTCTTATAAACAGCTGAAACGGCCGTCAATTACTCTCACAAGACCAATAGGAAAGGCTCAAGAAATTTGAATTGTGGGTATTAATTGGAGTTCTGGAAACAGGCTAGTTCAACCCTGTTTACTTATGCTAAGCTATGCTAACTTTGGCGAAAACACAAACATTGCTATTCCAAAAATGTTGAACTTAAAGGTGGGGTAGGTCATTTTGGAGAAACCAGCTCGAGTGTGCTAGAATTTGAAAATACACAGCCGGAAAAAATCTGCCACTTCCTTACAGAGCCCCTCCTCCAACACACACGAACGCGCACATGACCAATGAGGGCACGAGATAAGTTTGTGCACAGATGGAAGGCTGACAGGCAGGTAGGCCATCCAGTTCTTTTAGCCGGGCCGGCTAAAATGATTGGTCGTACTTTTTACAGTACTACGGCTTCCACAGATGACATTTTTTAATGGATTTTTTGTCAAAGCACTTAAGATATTCATTGCTATCGGGATGTTAAGAGCATTCCATGGAATATAACAAAAAGTGTATCTCGAGCCGGTTTCTCAAACTTACCTACCCCACCTTTAAACGAACGGATTAAGTTCAGATCATTTATTTGTAAACGTAGGTAGATTTGGTTTGGAGATAAAAGACAAGGAATCCATTATGACCTAAAACAACACAGACAACAGACAGACAGTCACATCCAAGCACATTTAAAAACCAGTAGTACTAACATGAGCAATCCACAAAGTTAATGAATGAATAAATAAATAGGCATTGCTTCCATAGCATCTGTGTGACGCTGCTACAACTCATGCTGAGTCATCGTCCAATATAGAGCTGGATAATCGCTGTAACTGCCTGAGTTACAGGCATTAAACACAGATTACGTTTATGGAGAATATTTTGGTCATAGATACATTAACTCATATATACTCAACATAACTTTCTAAAATAGCCCATCAAGTGAATTACAAAAGACTTTGCAGCAACAGTACAGGTATTAATAACAGCAACGTTTCCAAGAGAGCAGCTTCCTCACCTCCCTCGTACTCAGGGCAGTTCCCTGAGCTTTCGTTGAGGCCTTCCTCCTCGGTGATGATGATGTTCTCGATGTCCTTCATTGTCAGGTGGTCCCTGAAGGCGTGGAACAGCACCTGCTTCAGCTCATCCAGAGACAGCTGCTGCATGTCAAACTGCAGGGGCACAAGACAATCAATGCAGACACTGTCACCCACAAACTGGCTATATGAGGGCAGATAAATATAGAAGATACGACTGAGGTGTGAAATGTACAAGCTGCATGAAATGATGGCATGCATGGATTGCTTTTAAATGTGTTTATTTGTATGTACACGTTATAAGAAGGGATGGTGTGTGTTGTAATGTATTGGCAGCATGTTTGCCTATGCATCACTGGTTCTATTTGTGGGTGCTAGAATCAGTATGCAACCTGTGTGTGCTCTGATAAAGGGGGATGCAAGCGCAATTGGTTTAATGGATGTATCAATTACAATGGAAATACCAGCATACTAACGTCCTTGTAGGTGGTTGTTTTCTCAGTTGTGTGTGCATGTTTGTGTTTACAATGATTAATGGGCTCAAAGTCTGAATCTTAGCCTCTGTCCCATTCCCTGTCTGCCCTTCCTAAACATCACGTCCTTCCTGCCCCCACAGATCCTCTCTATAATACATACACACACTTGCACACCCCCTCCTGAAACCCACTATCATCCAGGTCGAGGTTATTTACCTCACAGACAGCCACAAATACAATCAGTCGCTTGGTTTAGCACAACAGATGGACATACTGAGGCAGGCGAGGCAAAGAGGAAGAAGATAGGGGGTATATTTCTCGAGAAAAATGAAAGGGACATACTGTAGGATGGAAAAAAAGGAAAGTAAAGTGAAGTCAGAGAAAATTGAGATGAAAGAAGTAGTGGAACAGTGAGATGGATAACATCTATACTGCAAGTAGGGTGTGGTTTCGAACCTCTGAGTTTGACATTGGAGAAATGTTGCTACTACTTTGAAGATCGATACCGCTCTCATTTCTGTTCTTTAAATATGTAACATTTGCTTCAGGCTGGAAACAGGGGCCTGGCTCCTTCTCAATGTAACACAAATCTGCCAACCAGAATAAAGAAAGATCACTTCTTTTGTTTTTAAATGAGCAGTGACTTTCTAGAGTCAAGTTGTCCCTATTAGGTTGCCAGGCAACTAGCGGAGACTCTAGCAAGTCACAGCACCGTCCAACAGTTTACACAACTAAGATAAGTAAAAAACAAACCAGATAACATGCTTATTAGAGAGACTTCGGTGCAAGAGTTTCTACATTTGACAACAGTCATGATGCTTCCAGCTGTCTCATGGTTTATATTTAAATAACAGATGTGACAGTGGATCCGATGTTTTTGATGTCTAATGCTCAGCAAAAAAGATCGTCCTTTGATAATGATTTAAAGCATAATTGGGACAAATATTTGAACATGGTTTTGTAGAGGACCTCATTTTGGGTTTGGTAACACAACCCAGACATCCTTTTGTTTTACAAAAATTCAAATTAAACCCAGCTCTATTTTTGGATGTTCTCTGCCGTCAGATTACAACACGGCAACAAAGCAATCAGTGGAACATAACCACAATATAATGCAATCTTTTAGAGGTATGATATCATCTATCAACAGGCAAACATGAAGAGACACACGCACACACACACACACACACACACACACACACACACACACACACACACACACACACACACACACACACACACACACACACACACACACACACACACACACACACACACCACACACACACACACACACACACACACACACACACACACACACACACACACACACACACACACACACACACACACACACACACACACACACACACACACACACACACGAGAATGATTTATTTCATGCAATAAATCATTATGTCCCTAACATTTACTCTTCACCCTCTCAAATGTTCATACTCTATCTGGGAGCTAAGGTCGAAGTGAAATGACATTTTCTTTCTTTTTGAAAAGGTTTGGTTTCACTCGGTGGCTTTTAGAATATCAAACAGGCAACAGTGACAGGAGAAGTTAAAGACAGATGGGTGGTCTCGCACAAAGAAGAAGATTCTAAATTATGGCATCATAAATTGTTGGCTTCAGATAAAAAAACACAATCCAAAAAACGAGAGTTAGAGAACAAGCTGTTGTCTATGGGCTATCAGAGCGACTTCATCTCAGATCTATCTTCGAAACCCTACCTTTTCAGTAGGGTCTGTTTATGTGATCATTATTATAGGTTGTTATGGTCAATCATAAAACACAGATGGCCGTTTACAGTTAGAGTTTCAACGGACGTCTGACCCATGTGTGGCTCTCCTTCTTGCAAAAGGTCCTCTCCTTAAGGGAATGGAGCCACATCTTTTCAGACTGCAGCCGCAGGACAGAGAAAATGACAAGCTCAAGGAGCATTTTCAATGTTCCCTGTCAGTCTGTCTGCAGGGGCGGGAAAAGCCCACGCCTCTTCCTGTTAGCAACCAGGTGACAGTGATCGTCGCCTCCTGTCACTTAACGGTACACACACAACAACACACACCTACAGCAAACACACACACACATACATCACACACACACACACACACACACGAACACACAAACACACACATCTACACACGACACCACACCTCACTACACTACACCTACACACACCACACACACAGACACCACAAAACACCACAGCTAACACAGCACACACACGACACGAAAACACACAGCAACACACACAACAACACACACACGACACCACACAGCACACACACACACACACACACACACACACACACACACACACACACACACACACACACACACACACACACACACACACACACACACAGAGCAGGGGATGTAAATATTCCAAAGTTTGACTGTCTTGAGTATTTTGTCTTTCAATGAATAAACTCAATTATTGAGTTGTGTCTGGGTATGTTCGTGTTTGACATGAAAACAGCAAGGGGTCGTGCCCAGTGACCGGTGACGGAGCGAGGACACATCAATCAGAAGAACAGGTGCTCAGACGTCGCCCCTCTCTTCTAATCCTGCCCTCGGACAGAACAAGCTTTCTGTCAGTCGTCCACCTGCTTTGTCTTCTGACCCTTCTCTTAAAAGTCACCCAGAGTGACAACCTGCAAGCATTGTTTATTTTATTCTGTACTTGTTCTGTCCTATTCTTCTGTCTAGCAGCAGTGCCGTCAGGGTTAGGTGGAGACTCCAAGTTCAAGGGAAGTTTCTGTCCCACTTTGTACGTAAGTGATTTAACAAGACTATACCAAGATGCACATATGTTCTCAACACTGTGTGCACACAATTGCAAACTAAAACATAAAGAGGACACTTTTTAGTGTAAAATTGCAGGTAAGATACTTCTTTTTTTGTTACAAAAAGAGCAGCCAACCACAGATGAATCATGGATGAACTAAATCCACAGAAGACAAATATGTCACAATTGAATTTTATGAAATGCAGTCTGAAGCAAAATATTCCCCAGTGAAGGTGCTGACACAAAAAAGCCTGTCATAATCCTTTGTTCAACACCAATGTAGAGGAAAGAATACAAGTGAATGGGGTCAACATTTTAACTAGATGTCACCATTAAACGTCCCGAGCTGATGACTGACATAAACACTTTTTTATAACAAGTTTTCTAAAATTGCAAGTTCAAATTTGCATATTAGGCATTTTATTTATTAAATAAGTGCTAAGCTGAGTGCTGAGAAATAACATATTCTGCGAGAAGACCTTTAAGGATAGGCATGTATAGTGTGAAATTCCATATATATCATGCAGAGGAATAGGGTTAACTATTTACCTAATAGATATCACTCGGAAAGCACTTAACTTGTTTAAATGCTAATTTCTATCATTATCTACAAACCTAAATAAATTAAGCAAAACAAATGTATGTGAATTTTTGATGTTTTCCTTCCACTTGTCTGAAATAAGTGATCTTATGACAAGTGATGGAAGCAAAATAGACCAAAATTCCCAGACAAACCAGTGTATTCAAAATTATGTTTTAGCATGTAGCCGTAAAATAATTACAATCACAGTAGCGCACTGGATAAAACCATAAAACCATCCATAAAATGGCAGTAATTATGTAACATTTTTAATTTGGCATCAGTATGAACACTGCAGCCGGTCTCAACAGACGCAGATGGCAGCTATAAGTCTGTCACTTGGTTCTCTCTCCTTTATCCTGCTGGTCAGTCTCTGTTTTCATTAACAATAACAGGTGGTTGACAGACAAAACTTCAATACAATAGTAAAAAGTGTATATTACTTTTACTTATCACTTTTAATGTGACTTTTGACACAAATGAGTCCAGATTGGGTGTTTCAAAAGTTTCACAGTCTGACATTTGAATTTCACACTGTGGAAATAAATGGACATCATTAGCTGCCTGGAGAGACTCACCCAAAATAAATGACAGAGTAGGTTTTTCAAGTGATTAAAATTACTTTTTTTTTTAGGAAGTGACCTCTTTCTGTCTTACAATAAATTACTTTTCTGTCTTTTTCACAAAGGTGGAAGTAGAGTAATGGTGTTACTGAACATTACAGGGTGTCTTGGAAAAATTCAAGGTGAATGGTTGAGATCTTTTAGAGGTGTTGGTGGGTGGACTGTTGTGTTATTGTTAGATAGATTACACCTGTTTCCAGTCTAACTAAAGCTGCTGGTGGAAGCTTAATATTTGCTGTACAGACTTGAGACCGTATCAATCTTGTATCTCAAGCTTATGTCCCAAAATATTGATCACATTTTTAAACATGTAGTTGCATAAAATCAAACATCTAGCTAACCAAACACTGCAGGACTTTAAACTTGAATAATCAAGACTTTGCTATGTTATTTTTCTATGTTTGCTTCTAAGGCATGTGTAAGAAAAATACTTTTTTGGTGAGTAATTTATTTATAAAATATATTTTTCTGGGTCAAGTATTTTAGGTTTTTAGAATATTCTGCAGACATCTATCCTGCACTCTCTCCGTGCTAAAATAATGCATAGACTTTAAACATTGTTGTGATAGCTTAAGCTTGTTTTGGTTTTTACATCTTTAGGGACTGTATCTTAATTAGCAATGGAAGACTGGGTGCTTCCCTCCCTATTCCAAATCTAATTTACGGACTGTCAGCAGAAAGGATACAAATTGAGTCAGGACTTTTTCAAAGCAGATATCCAAATTTCCTCGAGCTTTTACTCAGACCATGCTCCAGTGGAAAACATTTAACTCACAGGAGCAGGATCACGTGCACGAACAAAAAGGTATTCAACACATTCGCACACACAATGCAATCATACACAAAACGCGCCGACTCCGGTCACCTTGAAGAATCATGAAACATCTCACTGTGCAGAGATAATATGCGCACATGCTCAACTGAGTCATTATGGCCCACTGTGATGTGCCTCTTTCTCTTTTCAATACAATAACTTTCCCTGTCTCCCTCTGAGGTCTGTGTAATATAAACAGACACACAAACACACACAAGACACACACACACAAAACGCTCTCACTGTCCCCAGAGACAAACTTCCTCCCACCATTGCATCCCCCCCCCTCCTCCTTTCTCTTCCTATATTCTTTTGCACTCTGCTTTCATTTCTCCTGCTTCTCTCTTCCGTCTCAAATTTTGATTTCCCCTTTTTCCTGTTTTCTTTGAGTCTTTCTTTCTCTTTGTGAGAGGTGAACATTTTAAATCATCCCTGAGACGAACACTGTCTGCGACCTTCATGAATCACAGGCTCTCGTACCTCTCGTTTCATTTTCTCCCACTCTCCTCCTTTGTGGTTTCCTTTTATATTCCTGCATCCTTATGTGGGGCACAACCATCACCCCCCCTCCACTTCCACATACGGTGTATTGTCCAGCTTGCCTCTCTACAGTATATCCTCTTCTCTCTTTCAGCCACACTCGTGTGTCTTGCTCCATCCTTCAATGTGTCTCATTGAAGCGTTCCATTCCCCACATTTTAAAAATTAAATGATTTTGATGTTTAATTCAGAATATCCCGATGTATGAATGGCAAAGAGCCTTGTTTTTTTTAGCCATATCATCTCAAGTGATTGCACAATGAAATCAAGAATAAAGCACGTTTATGTAAATGTGGCCCAGTGTGTGTTTGTAACCTGAAACACGCACAGCTCCTCATTTCAGTGAGTCACCCTCTTAATGTTTCTCCTTTCATTTGACTCAAGAAAAGCAAAAAGAACAGCTTCCTGAGATTTGATGGCCTGCTTCAACATCGGTTTCACACTGCCCCCCCGCCCCCCCCCCCCCCCCCCCCCCCGCTCCTACACCTGCACTTTTCATTATTGTCTCATGTGTTACCTGCAAAAAAAGCATTCTGAGAGCAGCACATTTTCCTCACGTAAAAATGTCTAAAAACAAAGCAAGCACGTTCAAAAGTATGCAGATGAGCTGCAGCCTTAATCACCAGTGGGCCCAGTTTGGACACTTGAAAGCACACAAGCTCAGACTTTCCAAATAATGAGTATGGTAATACCCTCTGCAACACTGGGAATGATATCACCGCAAAAACATACTCACATAAAGAAAAGAAAAAAATAAAGAAAATACTTAATTCTCAGCAGGTCTCTTTTCCTTCAAGGCCCTGAGTCATAAGCAAGAAAGTCTCTAAAGAAGCGAGTGTGGGGCCTCTGTGTGTGTGTGTGTGTGTGTGTGTGTGTGTGTGTGTGTGTGTGTGTGTGTGTGTGTGTGTGTGTGTGTGTGTGTGTGTGTGTGTGTGTGTGGTGTGTGTGTGTGTGTGTGTGTGTGTGTGTGTGTGTGTGGTGTGTGTGTGGTACACTTAAGTAGGTGTGTGCAGAGCCTCTGCATAAAGAATGGCTTATTCTTAAGGATGTGAGACTCTATCTGACGGCTGAAAAACACAGTGAGAGGTGAGGAAGAGTAGTGATAAGTAGTGATAAGTAATGAGGATGGATAGTGATGAGAAGCAGATTCAAGCATCAGAAGGAAAGAGGAGGTCTTGTCTGTCACCTGCCAGAAGATGTTGTCGATGGTGGTGCCCAGGAACCCTTCTCTGTTGTCAGAAGACAGCAGTTTGGGCCCCAGTATCGTCATGAACTCCTCAAAGTCCACTTGGCCATCCCCTGCACCCACACCCACACACACACACACACACACACACACACACACACACACACACACCACACACACACAACACACACACACACACACACACACACACACACACACCACACACACCACAGAGAATAGACAATCAGATACACAGTCAGGAAAGCTGGTAGACAGGAGCTGAATAATGCATTTTGGTTCGGAAGTTCATTCGCTTGCAGAAACAAAGAAAATCTCCCTGAGATAGATCAACAGATGGATGTTCCCTCATCCGTGACAAACACCCATGCCACATCAGCACTCATTCACCTTTTGAATAAGGTGTGTGCACCTGTGCAAGTGCGTGCAAGCCATTGTGGGATAGTTCTTGCATTGATGTGACAATTCAGGGAACATTTCGCCATTTTAAATTCAAGGGACACAGCTTGAGAGGGTTTGCATTACGAATTCTACCGGTGCATCATGTTGGAGATAGCAATCAACAGCCAGCGTCCCACAGCATTAATACTCAGAGAACATCTCCCCGATATCATGTTCTATAACTAACAGAGTCACTGCATGAATAGTTTTATACATATATATAGACAATATTGATATTATCACCCGTAAAAAAATTCTCTAATGTTGTATTTGTTGTTTTTTATAATAGGCCGCATATTGAAGGGAATAAGATGCTTAAGTCTCCATGCTGCTGGAAGTAGGAGAACACTTTATTTAATGGGTCTGTAATTTCTGAATAATGGGATTTAGTGCTAATTACTGGGTACATAGAGACAATATTAAAGTGACACTCTTGTAATGAATGAATTCTAATTAATTGCTGCGTAACCTTGGAAGTATTAAGTCAGTGCTCTGCAGGCGAGCCGAACAAGCACAAATGTGAAATCTGTCAACAGGCAATTCAACATTTAAGGGTAGTTAAGTTTCAATTATTTCAGTGTGAATGGATTGATGGATAGCTCAAGGAAGATTTCATTTTTACCCGACGATAAGTTTCAAATTACACATTTATTTTCAGCGAACTTCTTGCAAATTACTAGGAAATTGCCGACCTTTGAAATAAAGCATTGTCTTGTATTACAGAATATTATTAGCACCAAGCAGGCATCAGTTCTCTGTTATAAAACATAACTGCAGTTTCTAAAAATGTAGCTTTTAATTAGCATAATATAATCTTGTATTTAAAGACTACTTTGCCTAAAGCCTGAGGGAAAGATATAAATATAATGCCAGAGATCAGTGGATTCAAATAACCGAAGCTGGGATTTAATGACATTACATTAATCATCTGAAGGAGCGTGCAGGTTGTCTAACACCTGATGATAATTGACATTCTGAAATGAAATGTGGCCGCGACCGCTTTCAGTGACTTATTAGAGGCGACGTGGAGATGATAGAAGTCAGGGGAGCGGAGATACTGTCTCCCCTCAGAACAAATGGCAGCGCTGCTCTCAGAGGCTCGTAACACTCATGGAGGCAAAAGCAAAAAAGCTTTTAGCTCTGACCTTTGATATTTACCGCATGCTGTGGAATCAAGAGCAGGCAGATAAGAACCAGAGGAAAGATTGACTGGCTTGTTTGTGATTCAGGGACTGCTTAGGATTAATTGCAATCGTCTACGGATTTACAATGAGGGCCGGAGTTTAAGGAGAAGGAGCAGACAGATTCGCTCTTTATTGTCTCCAGGGTAATTTATTTTCGACAGTTCACCATCTGCGAGGCAATTTAGAGACAATTTAGCAAAAACATTGTTAAGGTGGCTGTAACTCGAATGTTCATTTAGCCTAAAGAAAGTAAAATAAACATTTAGTGAAGTGTTTTTGGCATCTTTAACAGTTATTTGTATTATTTACTGCACAGTTCACTCAGATATTCATACAGCTTGCTTTCAATTCTTCTTCGTATTTTAATTCAGAGACAACAACTGATACACACACGTGCAGATTCCTGAAAGCAACTTCATGAAAAGGTCAACTCTGTGTGTGTGTCTGCATGCATGCACCCAAGTGTGTGACCTTATGTAGTGGCTCACCATCCATGTCCAGTCTCTGCATGATGATGGCCAGCTCCACTTCGCTGGGCATGTAACCCAGGGAGCGCATGGCCATGCCCAGTTCCTGTTTGGAGATGAAACCATTCCCATCACGGTCCAAAATACGAAAGGCTTCACGGATCTCTGCACGACAAAATACACAACATATCACGGTACATCCTATGAGTATTACATGAGATCTACTATATCTCTTAAGAAATACCTATAAAGTGCCTTTTATGCAATGCTTTGATACATTCTGGTGGATACGTTTAGTTTGTATGTCAACTTGAATGTGTTTGTCGTGTGGTGCTGAATGATGTGAGGGTTTCTGGGTTGGGAGGTGGGGTAAGAAGTGAATATACATTTGACATAACCTTTGTTTTGTTAATGTTTTGTGTTTAAACATTGGGACTCATCACAGCAGTAGATTATTTCCTTGTCCATACTGCTGTAACACTGCGGTTGTGAACAAGACTGAACATGTTCCTTTGTCCAAACACTTGACAAAAACACGACATATGTTATTTTTATGTTTTCTGGCAAGGAGTTCTTGCGGTTGTGTGAAGGCAGAAATAGTGTAATGTTGTCATAGCAACGTAAAACCTCTTAGGGAGGAGGTCGGGCTGGCTGTGTGACTTTGGCACTTTGCATCTCTTACCTCTGATCTGCTTTTTGGTTTCTTTTAATCAACCCCGAAATCTTTCCCTAACCCTGAAGTGATTCATAATCAATATCTTATAACAACCACGGATTAAAAGTCCTCTTGCAAGTTAAACGGGTCCATTTCATGAATCTGAACAAGGGGTTCGATTGACTCACCGACAATAAGGGCATCGCATCAGAAAATCCTGATATGTGTCAAGTCAAAAAACCTAGCCTATACTGGCTGTTTAGTTTTGAGGACTTGTTGGAGTTGTGACAACGGAAACAGCTCATAGACTTACACACTGTTACAGGGAGCCATTAGACAGTGTGTGTAGATGAAATGAATGATTAACAGATTTGAGCAGGTGTGTGGACGGTGCTGAAAGGTGCTTCCCTGGTGCTGATAACAGGCTTTCCCATTAACTGGATGTGCTGCAAGCTTTCTCACAGGCAAATGAAGGTGAGAGTCACGCACTCCCTCCTCCTCCACCTGTCTCTTCCTTGTCTCTTTTACATCTTGATATACTTATTGTATTTTACAAACCCTAAGGGGACTGTACCAATCCTTCCACACAGCACAATCTCCACCAGCGATGCCAAGAGCATTTCCGACTGTCTCCTCCCACATAAAATGCTTCCTTCTAACTTGAAATTGCAAGTAAACGCACCCAGCTCACGAGGCAGCAGACTTGTTGAAACCTCTGAGGACTTCCTTAGAAAATACCCTGGTCAATATCTGACTAATTACCTGCCAATCTGTCGGCACTATCCGAGCGGAGGTGATCCAATTGATCGACTTGACAAAAGACAGCCGAGACAGACACTTCAGAGACGTAAGAGTTTGTCATTGCAGCTGGCATTCGGCATTTCTGCAGATCTTTACAGGAGAAATGCAACGGAGAAGAGGGGGCTTTCTAGTCTACTTTCGAGCTAGTGTTATGGCACCCCCCCTGTAACTTTGGCCAGGATGATCATAATCTCACCAAAAGTACACTTGTGTTAGTTATTCCACTGGAGTTCAAGCAAACAAAAGCAATTCACTCTGAGCCTGTCAGGTGAAAAATGAAAGGGGTGCTTCTAAATCTGGCAGAGTCGGTGTTATGGCTGCCGGATCTGGCAACCCCCTCTGTAACTTTGACCAGGATGATCATAATTTCACAAGAATCACACTTGTGTTAGTTATTCCACTGAAGTAAACAAAAGCATTCACTCTGAGTCTACCAGGTGAAATATTAAATACAAATGTCCCTGAGATGTATCCTTTTTCCAACTTATAACAACAACATTTGCATGAAGTAATTTTCTCCGTCTCTCTCAGGCTGTGTGTCATTCATATTCTTGTATTGACAAGCTGCTCTTTTCTCTGTATGTGTAATACGTCTGTCTCGGATCGGTCTACTATAAATGTCTTTGCTCTGTCAGCTGCGTCAGAGCCAAAGTTCACTCGCAGCTCCCTTATAAGCCTGCAAATATCCCCAGCGGCTGATAACTAGACTGGAGTGCCGAGCCACTGCCTTACTTTCTCGCTCACTAAATAAAGTGAGAATCAGAGGCGAGGGATTGGGGAATGCGGGCAAGCATGCAGCCTCCCAAAACAAAGTGAATTTGTATGCAGCTCAACAGTGAAGAGTACATTTCCAATAGGGTACAAATGAGCTGGTCCTTGATGTATTACCGTACAATGCCTGTGTGCGTGTGCGTGTGCGTGTGTGTGTGTGTGTGTGTGTGTGTGTGTGTGTGTGTGTGTGTGTGTGTGTGTGTGTGTGTGTATTTGTATGAGCATGCAGCCCTGCCTGTGTGTGGCTGTGTATTATGAATTCAACCCTCCAGGACAGTACATGTTCTCTCTGTGATTGATGAAATGCCTCAAAACCAGAGAAAAGGAAAGCTGCAATCTCACACCGGAGTGATTAACTGGCCTTCTTTCTGCACTAACAGATAGAAGAACCTTCAGCAGCTCTCTGAAGTGGGATTAAGAGTTTTCAGATGCTGGCAGCAAACACCAAAGATATTTTGTCCACATCAAACAAGCCAATTGGTTGCATTAGATCTGCGGCTGACAGGGCTTAGATAATGCCTCAGCATGATGTCTGGACTCTAAGTGTACACATTATATATATATATCACATCTCAATAGGTCCAAACTTTTTTGTCCTCCTAGCTGTTCTTGACGACCAAATCCAGACAGAGGCCAACCGGTCTAATGATGGTGAGACGATTCAGTCACTGTACTGCTTTCAGCAAACAAAGCAACAGTTTTAGTGAACTGGGTTGAGTTGAGTTGTGCACAAGGGACACTGGATTAAAAGATTTATGCTACAAAGTGCTTCTTACCAAAGCGCATTCGAGCCAACTACAATACGCCATATGTATAAACAAACAGCTGCAGTCAGAGACACACTCTCTGTCCTAGCTCTGTGTCAAGATTAGCTGTTTCGTTCATGTTAGAAAAATATGCACTTGGTGCAGTTTAAAGGTGCATGTAAAGACGTTCATTATCCTCCAGGATCCTTCAGCCTGTGGTCATTGGTGCACTCACTTAACACGCTTTTTATTATCCACTTTTGATTTCTGCAACGAAAACATTTGGATAACCTTGATTACATCTTTTCTTACAAGTCAATTAAGATAATTTAACCTTTCATGTCCTTTTTTTAAGCATTCTTACATTTCGGGAATCATTTGGTGAGTACAATGTTATCATTGCTGATACAACCAATGACTAGAGCTACACAAATTAAAGCAGTATTAAATTACCTTGAATCCCAAGGGTGTTCTTAAGAAAACTCTTTGGCCGTATTACACTCAATATTACTAAATAAATTCATTCAAGCATTGAGCCACATTCTAACCAAAAACATCACTCCTAACCTAAGTCTAGGTGCTTTTAATGTAAATTGACAAACTTGTGTTTTGATTTTTGATTTTCGGTTGTTGAGAAACACAACAGGTGGATTTCGCTCAAATTGTCAAAGGGCAGTTTTACTTTTGTATTAGTTTATGTTCTAATTATTTACAACGCTTGCTTTTGTGAGAGCTGATGGCACCAATTTTTCTAAGATTAACTGAAAACTTGAATTAGAAAACCAACATCAATACATTGGTGTCGTTCGTCAGGCTGTCTATATTTTATTCCCTTTCATTCTGAGTCCTGTGACTGCTTTAATTTCATAATCACAGTAATTGGAAACCAATGCATCCAGTCAAGCTATGACAAAGGGGCTAAATGGAAAAGCCATTCCCCGGGAGAATTGAGGCGTTGTAACTGCATTGTTCCAGCAGTGAAACATTAATTGCTAGTACCTCACACTTTGCTCCGCACCCCCACCACCTCCCACCCTCTCTCTGCGAGACCACTCACCTCCCAGCTCCTCGGTGGAGATGCTGTTGAGCTGGAAGGCTTCGTTGCCCTCCGTCAGGGAGCTGCTCAGGTAGTTGTCTGGATAGAGCAGGCCCGCCCGCACATGGTGGAATGGCATCTTCTCCCTGCGGAACACACACACACACACACACACACACACACACACACACACACACACACACACACACACACACACACACACACACACACACACACACACACACACACACACACACACACACACACACACACACACACACACACACACACACACACACACACACACACACACACACACACACACACACACACACACACACACACACACACACACACACACACACACACACACACACACACACACACACACACACACACACACACACACACACAGTCTGAATAAACTTGGCACATGTGTGTATAAGGACAAAATCAACAGGTAAGAGGGATTTAAGTATCAGTGTGTGTGTACCCTCGATGTAAATCCTGACTACCAGCACAGTTGTGAGCCCTTTTATTAGGGAGGCAGACAGTGTCCACATTTTTTAAGATTGTGCCGAAGACTTTCCTTTACAAAAAAAAGCATATTGTTAAATCTGGTTTCTAGATTACCCAGAGTCCTACATTTTATGGTATTTCATTGAATGTTTTTATTGTATTTTTATTGTGTTTTTGTTGTATTTTATCTAATTGTATTTGTATCTATTTAATTGTATTTCACGTTCTATCTTGTGTTTTTATTATTTTCTTGCAATTTAATGTATCTATTAACACTGTCATCTGTGTGTGTTAATCTGTGAAGCCCACTGAGACAAACGTGTTTTGTGATGTTGGGCTGTATAAATAAACTTTGACTTTGATGTTCTCCTGTGTTCCTTCCACTCTGCTAATGCTCACTTCTGGAAGAAACCACTGTCTCCTCATGGCAGAATCATAGTGACAAGTTATGTAATCACATTATAATTCAACAGTGTCACACAAAAAAAATCCACCGCTATTGTTCTTGTAAATACCATCAGCAACTCTGTATTATCCAGCGATCATTCGCTCGCTGTCTCTTTCCGGCTTGTTCTTTGTTCAGGAAAAGCACTAAAGTCCTGTCACTCGCTATCGTGTCCTCGTAGCCCCCCTCGTAAGATCTCTTGACTTCTTGTCCCGTCAGACAATCCCCACTGCCACCCAACAGCTCACAGGGGACATCAGGGCTTGACAGGGCATCAATCAGCCACGGCCACTGCTGTCCTGCGATCAGTGCGAGGCTCGGCTTTGATTCATGAGAGTTGCCCCTCTGAGGGCTTTCCTTGTGTAATATTTTGACACTGGCGATATGCTTCATGCAATATTCCTGCCCATAGAACATGCTGAACTGTCGCGGTGAGAGAGCGAGAGAGATGGGAAGAGATAGAGATCCCGAGAGTATTTTGTGAGCATGCTGCTGCCAGACAGGGGAGATAGAGATGGAGATAGGAAGAAGTTGGGATGTCTCTATCACAGGAAATATGGTCAAAGCAAAAACAACTCCTATCCTATCCTATCCTATCCTTTCCTTTCCTTTCCTTTCTCCTTTCCTTTCTCCTCTCCTCTCCTCTCCTCTCCATTAGTTGAGACTCATATCCTTTGTGGATCTTTTGAATCAGAGCCAAGGGGGAGAAGCGGACAAAGACTGAGCGTAAAGACAAAGACAATGTAAAAGGTTAAGAGCTGCGGGAAAGGTGTCAGTCCGCTCTGGGGATCTGTAGAGGACGCCACATGAGACAGCAGAGAGAGAGAAAGCAGACACAGTGTGTTTGCAGGAAGGTGTGTACGTGCACATATGGTGAGCTCTCAGGAAATATATCCTTTTCCTAGTTCTACTTTACTCTCCACCTGCAGATTAGAGGGTCTCAACATGGACAAAATCCCACTGACACCCACTAACATCACTCTTTTGAGTTTAGCGGTAAAGGTCACATTCGACATTCATTCAGGGGGACAAATGACTCTGCAGTAGTCACAGGTATTTATCGGCTCTGGCTCATGTCAGCAGTAAAAGACGACACCTGGGTGGAAACGCTAATTTAGACACATTTCTGGCATGATGATATGTGATGCATCCATAATTATTTAAAATAAAAAAAGGGGTTTGGACTATTTTTATAATTTGCGAATGTACAAAAACATACTATTTATATGCTCTATTAAAAGCCACCCCATTAGACTCCATTAACAGCATTAACATTACAGTATATTACCATATTGTGCACACTTCATTAAACTTGAAAGAAACAATATAAAACTCATCAAAAACATCTTTGTTAATCTTTCCAGTGATCCACAATCACCAATGCCGGTGTGTTAAAAAAACACAAGGAACATCTGTTTATAACGAACCCTGCTTCCTAGAAGTGCTCGTGTAAAAGTCTTAAAAATTGATGTGTTTCTTTTAAGAGCTGCTGCATCATAATTGACTTAAAGTGGACCTATCATGCTATATTTGAATAATATAGTGTAGGACCATACCTATATAAGGCATATTTATACTTTTTTTTTTTCAAAATACCAAACAGATCATGCATTTTAGCCATGCCTCATTTTGCTCAATTTGACATTTTTTAGCCCTGTTTTTGCAAGGGCTGATTCTGTGAGAACAGCACCATCTAGAGGCCTGGCATATGTACTACAGCGTCTCCAGCGCTTTCGAATGGCAATGGCCGTGGCTGTCTCCTCCTGATTGGTGGAGTTGGCCCAATAGCCGTAGCGCCACTGTCCTGACGTCAGGACAGTGTTCAAATCTGGATCAGTTTTTATCAGATCCGTTGCAGCCCCTTTTTTAGAGATTTGGGTATGGAGGAAAACCGGGGACACATATTCATGTGTAAAAGACGTACAAAAGTGCATTTTGCATGATAGGTCCCCTTTAACATTAGTTGTAGTTTGTATTTAGTGTTGACTGATTATGCCATCAGATGTCAGTACACAAAACATGCTGGGAATATTTGTATATCGCTTTAGATAATAGCATGTACATGTAGGCAATGGTAAATCTTTTTTGAGAAGCGTTCTGGTGTCAGTTTGTAGTCCGAGTAATATTGAACAATGACATTTGATCGGACTTTTGTTGAATCTAGGTCAAGCGTCTGTGTGGATACATCTGCATTGGGCAAAAAATAATCTGGGAAACCATCGGGTACAGCAAAAGCGACAAAAGCTGTCAAAAAAGCGAATAAAAAGAAAGTTGTTTTAGTGTAAATGCAGATACGGTAACTGCAGATATATTTAAACTATTTGCCTCTCATTCACACAGACATCCACTACACATGTATACACCCGAGGATCTGCCATGGAGCACCCTGGGGTTTAGTGTCCTTCTCATAAAATGAAGACCGGCTCTATCAACTGATCAACATCCAATCCAAATATCTGTTTATTGAGATTAGCGATAAACGACTCTAAACTTTAACTCACTTTGAAGTTGCTAACCGGGCTGTAAACAATGTCCGATGCACAGAAGAGAAGCTCTTGCCCCAGACATCCATAGGCTTCACTGGGGTGCACAAAATATAATTTGTTGATCCCAGAGGCTAAATCACACCGATAGCAAATGAGATGTTAGATTTGGCGCAGATGGTGCATTATGAATGTTGTTAACTTACATGTAACCAAACATATAATAGGTTTATTTTGGAGTGTGTTTCTGCAGAAATTGTTAATTGATAATTGCACGTTTCCTATGGGCACATTAGTGCATGCATGGCTGTTAAACAAGTTAAAGAGTGTATCTACATCTGATTCCTCCACTTTAGCTGTGAAGAGAGTGGTGTGTATTTACATTGTGAAGTAAGAAGTCTGTCACTGGGACAAAGTGATCTGTCGTGCACTACAAGTTCATATGGAAATTACTACAGAAATGATCACAAGATTAAAAAAAAGTCACAATGAAAAATGAAAAACAATTAATGGCTGTTAAATACGCCACAGCCAGCTGAAATCCCTAAATTCTTCAACTGCTCAAGTTTAAGAGGAACCCAGTAATTATTTAATCAGGGGACAAATGAATAAGACATATGATGTGAAATTAATATGAGAATGTATTTTAACAGTCCATCTGCTCTAACAATTGCTCCACTGACAGAAACACCCACTCACTCGTGGCAAAAAGCAGCAGCGCATACACATGCATCAAACTCACTCACAGATTCTCAGTTGTTTTTCTACCTCTCTCTCTCTCTCATTCAATCCCTATTTTTCACTCATATATTTTTGGATTGCGTTATTTTCTACTCCTGAAAACACGGACTGTTGTCACAGAGACGGGCATGAGAGCTGGCAAGGACAATCTTTAGCAGAAAACCTCCATCTGATAAGCCTCATCGCCTGGCTGAGAGCAGGAAGAGGAGTGGCAGAAAGACAGATAAACAGACAGACAGGTGAGAAAAAATGATGGGAAAGGGGGGTGCAGAGGGGATGAAAGGAGCAAATGAAAGCGGGCTTGCTGTCGGTTTTTTAACTGTGGGGTCATCTGCACCCCAGGGAGCTCAGTTTCAAGTCTACAGCGTGGTGATCGGAACGAATTTAAGCTCAGATTGGAGGGAAGGCGCTCAGATGAAGGGAAAAAGGAGCAAAAGAGATTGAGCCAAAAACTGGGAATATGTAGAAAGGAGAACCATGTTTTTTCCTCACCTCCCTCTGTCCCCATGGAGAGGAATGCATTAGCAGAATGGCAGAAAAAAGCTGAGAGGTCACAACAGTGTTTTTCCCCCACAAGCACATGGAGAGAGCTTCCATCACAAGCAGGCAGCCCAGACAAGACAACATTATTAAATGAATCCTGCAGATAAAAAAAACCAAGTTGCAGCAGCCACTAATTCAAAACATGCAAAACTGTGTGATTTAACTTCATCCACTGACTGTGATGTGAATGGGATGTGTTAGCCCGCCAGGAGGACTTCAAGATAAATCAACAAATTATTCTCTCTTCACTTCAAGCCACTACAACGTCTCATGTCTCCTACAGTTTGGGAAAAAGGCTGATGCCGCTTGCCAAATATAACGAGACCACCGATGATCAAGTGAAGCAACAGTGTTGGATAAAGGATGCAACTCTGTGCTTTGTCAAATAGACCACAAAGCCACACAAAATGGATAAAGCAGACACATTTACACATCAAAGAAAGACATGTGTTAAATCAACAGGCAACCAAGAATAAAATGGCTTCTTATTAGATTTTATAGATGAATAAATAATTTTAAAAAACAATCAATGGAAATCAAATGTCTATGCCTCTCATATGTCACTGCTCAATGTCACTGCTCAATGTCACATTGTCCTCCTGAAGTCACCTTGGGCAAAGACAGGGGGGGGGGGGGCTGCCAATCTTGTCCCCCAGCCATCTCTCCAATAGGTCAACCTCATCCAATACTCTCTGACCCACCACCAGCCAAGTTAAGAGGCTTGTGCACCCCTGGGTTTTCTGCCAGGTGGTCTGACACGACGCTTGGATGTTAAAAGAGTCCCACATGAAAAGAGTTGGACCCCCACGATGGTCTGCCACACTGTGCGCATCTGCAGCAGAGTGAGCGCAGCTGGACTCACACAAACTCACAGCTACATGTTACACTCACTGCACCGAGAATTGGGTGTCTGAGTAAAAAAATAAAATAAAAATAACACTCATGCGCGCTACCCTCCAAAATGCTCGCACACACACCGTCTATAATGCCACGCATGTATACTGTGACATCCTCCACAGGCGGGTCCCCCAGGGTAGATAGTGATGAATGTGAGGCAGGTGACAGATTTGACCATCACGCTTTATGACTCTGGAGTTTTAAAGCATATGGCATTGAACCTGAATACTATTGGGCTTTAGACTGCAGCCTGTCCCCATTTATCAGAAGCAATGTGAGTGAACAGCGGAGCGGCTGATAAAGCATGATGTATATGATGGAGTGCTTTACTTCCCACTGCGTGTTCAGACAATTACACTATAATTACAGTTGTACCGCGTGTGCGATGGACCTATAATCACCTAATCATACCGATCAAACCCACACAGCGCGCACTGACGCGACGCACGCAAACAGCTGGAAAGAGGTTTTCAGTAGCAGTTGCAATAGAAGGATACTGAATGCAAATAGACACAGACATCATTGCGTTGTCAGCCATTACAAAAGCACAGCTCATCGAGCCTGTCAACACTACAGGTCTATTTACACAGACACATTTCCACTGATCACAACAGGTGCAGTCGCCTCGTGCGCGGCTCTGCTGCCATCAACGGCACCGACGCATGGGCGGTCAGTGGCAGTAATCACCTTGATCACCTTTTAACACATGCACCCTGGGGTGGCACACGAAAGAGCGGTGAAGTGAAGCGTACCTGTCTGTGAAACGACTCTTCCACCCGGTGTGAGATCCCCCCCGCTCGGTTAGAGCACCGCTGGCGGAGACGCTGAGGGTCTTTGGAAATATGTGTTTAGTCTGTTTGCATCCGTCCTGTGCTCTTGAGGAGTCCGTCCGACAGCCAAAGATGGACTCATTCAGTCTGTGAGTGGGACCTGCCTCGGGGATTCACCAGCGTGTCATGTGCTCCCCACTTTACAGATAGTTATTCTCCCAAAAATATCAACTGGTTAGATGAGGAGAAGGAGGTGGATGGTGGTGATGTTGGAGATTTAGTCCATTTTAGCTGAAGCCCAGACCCTCATGAACGGCCTCCAATTCGTTTTCTACATCTCACTTCTCATCGCCATATATTGTGAATTTGGGATGAAGCAGTTGGTAGGTAGAGAGCCAAATCCTCGTCCTATCAGCTCGCCCAGACGGACGCCACCCAGAACGCCCACGGGTCTGGGTCTGACAAGCGGAGCTGCTGCTGCTGCTGCCGATGGACTATTATACAAGGATTCCAAAATAAAGAATCACGATTTAATTAACTGTCAAATCAAAACCGGAGGAAGACCAGTCAACAGTTAGATCGTCAAACCTGCGGAGTGATGGGAAGGGATCTCCCGTGGCATGTATCCCGGTGACAGACTTAACACATGTAGTCCGGTAAGGGAGGGGCCACAGGGGCCGCGGCAGCAGAGGTGCGACTGTGTAGGTGAGCTGGGAATATGCGACGCTGTGGCGATCAGGTGTGAGAGGGAGAGTCAGGAAGAGAGAGAGAGAGAGTGATAAAGAGAGCGGGAGAGAGGGTGAGAGAGAGAGAGAGAGAGAGAGAGAGAGAGAGAGAGAGAGAGAGAGAGAGAGAGAGAGAGAGAGAGAGAGAGAGTGATAAAGAGAGCGGGAGAGAGCGGGAGAGAGAGAGAGAGAGAGAGAAAGTCCAAAAAGGGCGAGGGAGGGTGGGAGTCGATGTCCGAGCAATTAAGGTTCCAATAGATCGGTAAACTCCAACATTTCCCTGAGGCCGTGTGTATGTGTTTTCATTTAAACCTTTTTTCACAGCTTTTTGTCATTGATGACCAATTATGGTTCTTAGGAAATGACATCAGCTGCAGTACTTAAATGATGCAGTGTGTGTCTTACACCCCCCCCCCTTCTCCTCTTTCCCCCCCAACCACCCACCCATCCTAAATCTTCTTCTTTGTAGGCCATAGCGTCAACATAAAAGGCACTTTACTCCTCCCAAACCCCGCAATTGTTTTCTTTTTTTACCATCCTCCCCCTCCAGTTATCTCCAGTGCTGACTGTCTGTGTGTTTCACTCGCTGCCTCTGATTAGAAAAACCCCACCACTATGCCATTTAGCCTACATCCCCTATTCTAATTATGTAATAGCCTGTGTGGCTCCTCTATTTCCCCCCTGCCAGTGGGACCGCAGCAGCTCAATTGCAGTGATAGCCTCAAGATTGAAAACGGTGTCTCCAGCACTGCACTGCTGCACTGTTTTAATAAAAAAGTGGTTATATCAACTTCTTAAACCAGCCTCTATCTCCCTTCTGCCTATTGCAATAGTGTTGCCATAGGGTGATGGGCCAGAGACTGCTGTTAGTCACTGGGAGAAGAGGCTTCAGTGAGAGTGGAGATAACACAAATATGGAGGTTTCACTCTGGTGCTTTTGCAGCACATCTAATGAGTTTAAAAAAAGGTTTGAATGGATGTTCTCTAGGTTCATAGGGAAATTAGGCCAATCTGAAACACAAAGTCATTCATTTTTACAATTTAATTCTCATATAAATCATGTTAAAGAGGTGAAGTTTCTCTGAACACAGGCTTATCTGTGGTGCTGGTTTTTGGCTCTGTCCATGGTGCTGAAGAGCTTCCTCCAGCAGAGGCAGGACGAATGAAGGTGAAGTGAAGCGCCTCATGTCAGCATTTACAGACAAGCTAATCTGCATGACTGCGACTCTTTGCGACTTTGTATTCATTTGTTCAAAGGAACCAGGATTAAATTGAGAGAGTGTTAGAGGCTATTTCCTTTTCATACATCATCACTAATTATATAATAAATCCATGTATAGCTACACAAATGTCATTAAGGATTGATTACATTACATTACATGTTACTTGTTAGACGCTTTTATCCAAAGCGACTTACATACTCAATACTGTGGGCAATCCCCACAGGAGCAATTTGGGGTAAAGTGTCTTGCCCAGGGACACAACGGCCATTTCTCAATCGCGAGTACGCTTGCTTGGTAGCACATGTCTGCCGAGCATCTTGCTTCAGAAGCGAGTCAAGAATACTTCCTGACATTTGGAAAACAAAGAGTGGAACAGGCTAGCAAGTGTGCAGGTGTGCGTCATATGAGAGGCCCCGCCTTACATTTTCCGCCACAGATATTGGAAATTGGTCCGTGCGCAAAGCATTGTGGGGATTTTAAGACAGCGGAATCTACTCATGTGCAGCCTCGATATTTCTCCAAACGGAGTACGCCGGGCTCGGTAGATTTCCAAGTATGCTGGAGATAGGAACAGTACTTCGGCGGCACTCGATGACGTAGTATGCTTGAAATAGTGGCTCTGCAGCAGCTTTACTCGCGATTGAGAAACACCCAACGACATGCTGACTGCAGTGGGGTTTGAACCTGTGACCCCCTGATCCGAACACCAACGCACAACCAACTCCGCCACACGCCTCCTTGGCGGATTGATGAAGCCTTATTTCATTATTATGAACTCCACCCCAACAATAACACTTTATGTTCACTTACTAACTTTGTAACAGCCCAAAGCTCCTGACCATTAATTGATGGACAATTTAGAGGAAATCTAAAAAATGTTGACATTGTAATAATGTAAGACATTGAATGCCACACAACTACACAAAAGTCAATTACTTATTTCCATTATAGTTGATGTGAAAACACAAAACTACATGTGACATCATAATAGAAAAAAAGGGCCTGTTCATTTTCCAACACTTAACTCAAAACAAAACAATCTTAAGTAATAAATAACACTACAGGTAAGAGGAAACATGTCTTTTTAAACTCAACTGAAAGGAGCGTCATTATTCCAATATGATGGAACAAGCGTCACTTAAAGGTGTTAATATGGGTTGATATCTGGTAACTGTAAAGGCTAAAGATCATCATTCACAAGACCCTTATACACATTACAATTCAGTGTATAAGTAAAAGTAAATATAAAATGGTGAATACTCTAATGTAATTTAAAACTATAATGTTCAATCTAAATACTGGGTCCCATGCAGGTGCTTTTTTTTGCTATTTCCTGCAATGTTACGGGAGTCCATCTGCTGTCCAAACAGGACACAGCTGTGTGGCGGATTTCCAGCCAGATAATTTAAATCTCATGGTGAGTTAGGCTCAATTTTCTCAGGTGTTAAGAAATCCAATTTAGTTCAGGTAGAGGGTGAGTTGGTTCATTATCCAGCAAATATGGGACATTTGGAATACATTCACACTCACATACTTACAAAATAACATAATTACAGTTCCTCCGTCAGTTTCCATCAATTCAAACCTCTTCATTGAATTCAAAAACTGGACCTACTTTGAGCTGTGTAGCAGTTCCCTGCTGTCAGACTAATACACTTCACCCTGAGTATGACATGGATTTTACTTTCACTGCTGTATCCTGCTAAGTGACCTGAGAGGATTGACAATTGGCAAAACCTCAGGCTTCACAAATACAAAGAGCGGAGTCATGAGAGGAAGTCTACACCATCAAATAGAACCACAGGGACACGCCAACATGGACTCTGACCTCACAGCAAATCAATACAGGCGTCATGTCGCCAATCAAAAGTGGCCGCCCTATTTCTTCCAGTAATGTTTGCTCTGTCAGACCACTTATTGCTCACTAATAGAGATACAGTGTGCTCTTATAGCCTTCGGCAGGATGTAATCACTAAATGGGACCATGACTAAAGCATACCCTGAAGTGATAGACTTTACACTTTTTTTTTAAATCAGATTGTTGACAGTGGAGAGTTTCAAGTAATATAAGGGATCTACATGCAGTAAAAAGTCTTAAAAGGGCTTATTTTGAATCTTGTGCATAGGCGATAACCTCAAGACTTAAATCAGGTCAAATCTACTTAGTAAATCAGCAAAAAGAAGAAAATAAGATTTAAAAACTAGGCATAGGCTGATCAAAAAAGAAGAATTGGCAAGGTTGAATTTATAGACTGAAAGAGTCTCTTTTGAGGTCACACTACAGCGGCCTGCTGAACAAGAACATTAGCATTTCAAAGTTCCCGTTCAGATTTACCCATTTATTTTCTCCATGACAGTGAAAGCGGACGATAATGTGCTGCTTTAAGAGCCTCTTTCATACTGCAGTATTTATCTAAATTAAAGTAATTTCTTGAAGGGCGTTAAAGTTTATGATTTTAGTTGAGTTTTATAATGATTAAGCTCGAACTAGAAATAATGGAAAATGAACTGCACCTTTCTGTCTTTATGCTGCAGAGTAACGTGAAAGAACACACAGACCTCTTCTGTACGTACACTCCTGGTACTTCAAATACTTCTTATATAAAGTCTGTCTGCTTTGTAAAGTTGCAGCTACCTTGATCTTGTTTCCTGCTCCCGCATGAAGTGGGAACCTGGCAGCGCCGGCAACATGAGAAAGGAGATTATGGTTTCAGATCACAACCCTGCTGTATAATACATTCAACATCTCTCCAAATCTCCCCTCATTTGCATTTAAATATTGCCATTATCCATTCCACTCAACATCCCTGCCATGTTTTGTCCAAGTCCAGCAGCTACGATGACCTTCTAAGCAGAAAAAACTGCTTCCTGTCAGCCAGAGTTTTGCGCCGTAGACATCATCGGAAATTAATTAAAGAAACCCTAAGGAGGTTCATTTAAATTCACCTGTGTACCTGGGATTGGTAACAGGGCGGTATGGTAAATCAATCAGCGGGTAAGTGTGATATAGTGCATTTGTGAGCAACCACCAATTAGCAAAGGCTTGGTGAATGACCAGAGAGACACAGACATCAATTCTAAACAGGTAAAATCTGGACCTGACATACATTTCAAATTCAGTCGCAACTTTTCACCGCAAAGGTCATCCAGACAAACATAAGCTCGGCCATCATGTGCACTTATAAAATCCCGCTTCCAAACACACACAGATAAA